CAAATGTTTTAGAATTTCGGGAAACTTTGAAAACTAAAACCTCGATGAAGTCATTTGTTCATCCCCTTTTACGTTTTCAAAATAGTATTTGCATCATCGCCTCTTTTTCTTTCATTATACGATTTTGCAAATTCTAGAAAATGAAATTTAAAGTCATAATGAACTGAATTGTTCGCGCCATTTTATAATTTCTATCTAAATAGGATCAATGTTTAGAAAATAATGTTATTCTTCTTGTTTTCTTCTTGTCTTTCATCACATTTTTACAAATTCTAGGAAATTAGAGCTAAAACCCTTAACTCAATTTGTTTTCCTTTCTTTATACCATTGTTAATAATCGTTGTCTCATTGCCTCCTTTCATTTCATTAGTCGAACAAGTTAAAGTTCAAATCGCAATGAACTCAATTTTTCAAACTACTTGTCCTCTTTATATTTCAACTATTAGAGCTGTTAACCAATATATATGTATTAGACTTGTTTTTTACTTATTTTAATCAGATCTTTACATATTCTAGAAAGCGAAAGCTAAAAACCGTCATGGACACAAATGTTCGTCTCCTTTTAATCAGCAGGAGCAAGACCCGCTTCAACGACGAGTGTAGTCAGGATTATCAATAGACAACAAAGAAGATCCTCTATCAAGGGAAGTGACAGAGCGACTCCTTGGCATGGGCGGAAATTGGAGGGGGCGGTGTGAAGCGCCCCAAGATTTTCAATAGTTTCTAAGTGGAACACAATTTCAAATCACTCCCCACGATTTATGTTTGCTTTATCAAGTTTATAGCGGTAGAAAGAAGTAACCAATTACATATCATATTGCAGTTCCAAATGGTTTTTTACCCTTTTTTGGCAAGAGAATTTTGGAACAAAAGAACTCCCAAAGTTATGGAGACATTTTCTAATATATATTCTAATTTCCATCCTGCAAAATAAAACGAGTTATCGAGAAAATAGTGTATCTCCTGAACTCTCATGTTTTAATTGCAAAAAAGCTGTGGAATTTATATAAGTTGAAATCTCTTACTCTTCGATAATCTACAGTCGGTGTACTGGTTATGTAACTGTGATGTTATTCCGGTCAAGAGTCCTTTGTATTTTTAAATACTAAAATATCATCAATATCCTAAATGTTGTGCTTTAATTCCTCTCAGAGAAAAGTTGCGCGGAAGATGTTAATCATGTTGTTCCTTCAGAGAAGACATTAAAATGAAACCGAGTAAAAGTAGTCTGTACAAAATGGAATTGAGAAAAATATAAATTCTACCATAATGTATAAGTATATGGGAGTTGCTTTACAGTACCTGACGGTGATTCAACAAATACACCCATGAGAGATTCACATGATTAATTCCAAAAACTAGTTGGATCAAAAAGTGTAAAAACGCATGTCTATTGTGTAAAGCTCCACTGCTACCAAATAGATAGTTAGACAAGTTTAGCCGAATGCGCTTTTTTCCATGGAAAATGTCAATACAACAACGACAACATTATTTTGACCAAAGTTGGTAATTCCGAATCTTCATAATTAAACGTAGGTTTCTTTTTCCGTAGGCTCATTGTATCTTGATTGTAAATCATTGCGAATGGTCTTATATGCTTCATATGCAATCATGGCTGAATGAATGCCATACTTCGAAGTTAGGGGCTCTAGAAGAATACCAATGACCTTGCACTGGGTATGTCCATAAAATGTTGTCAGCTCTATCCACGAAGCAACTTCCAAACTATCAATCGCCCACTGAGTCGCGTTCAAGATACCGGTGTAGATCAGGCAAATAAACGTCCATCTCGCTTGATCCGTACCAACAATCTTCTGCCGCTGTACGACGACTAAAAAGGATGTCATGACCCAGGCCGAGTAGGCACTGGCGTACCTATGGGGGGGGGCAGGGGGGGGCAGAGTGCCCCCCCTGACGGGCTCCAGGGGAAAAAATAAAAAAGGGGAAAGAAAAGAAAAGAAAGGAAAGGAAAGAAAAAGAAAAAAAGAAAAGGGAAGAAAAAAAGGAAAAAAAGAGAAAAAAGAAAAGGGAAAGAAAAAAGGAAGAAGAAGAGAAAAGGAAGAAAAAGGGAAAAGAAAAGGAAAGGAAAAAAATGGGGAAATTAAAAAAAAAAAGACCATGGCCGTACGCACCAGGGGGGGGGGCAGTTGACCCCAGATATTTTGAAAACGTACAGTTTTTTTCCTGAAAATGTAGTGTAGGCCTATACCAAATCCTTCAATTCTACTTTTGAAAATGCAAAAGTACCCTCATGACCAGTTCGGTCGCTCGAACTCCCTTCACTCCTTTTGCTTTTGAGATTCTTCGAAAACTTTTAACGCATCTTTCCCCCTCCCCCACCAGAAAAATATTCCGCATACGGCCCTGAAAAATTAAGACAAATGAAAATAGGAAAATATAAGTGATATAACAAATTCGAAACTCTTCGCTGGCGCGAACTGCTTGCTAGCCTATTTTGTATTAAATGTTTTCACTGGCTCGTCCCCCTGAAAAAAGAAAAGGATTAGCATTGCCTAGAATACAATTGTGCCTGCCCCGACGGGCCCCGACCTGCAACCATGGCAACAATAACACACAGTGTATGTACCAAATGTTACTAAAAGAGAGTAATTCATTTTTCTCGCTCGCTACACTTGCTCGCGAATAAAATGAATAGATATTGCTTTGGAACAATTGTGCCCACCCTTGACCTGCAACAATATCATTAAAAATGGAAGAGTTTTTTCGCCCTCTCTCCAAAAAGGAATTGAATCGCGTTAAACGCGATTGCGTCCATCCTGACCTGCACCAATAAAAACAAGTTTATTTATTAATTTCTATTAAAAGAGATTTTTTTTTTGCTTGCTCGCTATGCTCGCTCGCCAAAATGGAATTGACACCGCTAACGTGCCCGCCCCAACCTGCAACAACCAGTTAATAATTATGTACCAAACGTTATTCAAAGAAGTTTTGGTGTGCTCGTGCTCGCCAAAACGGAATTAACATCACCTTAGACATGATTGTGTAAGCCCTGCCCTGCAACAAGAAAATATGAAATTTATGAACCAATTATCATTACAAAAATTTTGCTCGCTCGCTACGCTCGCTCGCCAAAATAGAAATAACACCGCTTTTAATAATCACGTCCCTGACATGGAACAATGAACCCAAGTTTATGTACCATATTTTCCCTATAAAAGAGAAGTGATTTTTTTCGCTCACTCGCTACGCTCGCTCGCCAAATTAGAAATAACACCGCTTTTAATAATCACGTCCCTGACATGGAACAATGAACCCAAGTTTTATGTACCATATTTTCCCTATAAAAGAGAAGTGATTTTTTTCGGTCGCTCGCTACGCTCGCTAGCTCGTGGAATTATGTGCCCACCACTAACCTGCTACAATATCATTAAAAAGAGAAATGTAGAGGGTTGCCTGCCCGCCAAAATGGGATTGACATTGTCTTAAACACGATTGTGCCCGACCCCGACCTGCAACAATGAAACGAATTTTATATAGCAATTCATTGAGAGAAAGATGTATTTTGGCTCGCTAGCTAAAATAGGTATAAAATCACCCTAAACACAATATTGTTCCCGCGCCCTGCATGGGACAATTGAACCAAGTTTAAGTGGCAATTATTAAAAAAGAAGTGATTTTTTTTCTTGCTCGCTACGCTCCTTTGCAAAAAAATGAAATTAACGTCGCTAACAAGTGAATGTTCCCACCCCCAACTTGCAACAATACCAGTTTATATACCAAACGTTACTTAAAGATTTTTTTTTGCTCGCTCGCTCGCCAGAAGTGAAAATTAGCATCGCCTTTTTTGTTTGTTTCGGTCGCTTGCCCCCCCTGACGGAGTACCCCAGGTACGCCACTGCGAGTAGGTATCCTACTCAGTCAGTTTACCCTTGACCTAGGTCTATAATCACTTTTACCAGAAGAAAAGTTAGACCCCAGACCTATGTAAAACCCGACTTTAACACAACCTTGAACAAAGCGTTGGTTTTTAATTTAGGTACAATATGAGCCAATGAGCTTTTCCCCTTTACTACCAGGGTAATTTCAGGTTACAGCAAGTTTTGCCTTGCATAAACGAGTACACAGTTGTTTTTTGTTCTCTCTCTCTCTCTAAAGGTGTTTGTAAGGTTGGATAAATTTTGTTTGATGGGGAGGTACTCTTAGTACCCCTTCTGATATTAAAAAAACAGCGTTTAAAATTAAGTAGTAGATTATAAAAAAAATATCAAATTCTAATCCACCTCTATCTTATTTCCTACTTATTCGTGAAATCCAATGAGAAAGGGGGATAAACGAGCCCCCGGTTAAAATAGCCCCCTACTCACACACAAATAAAAACACACGCACACACACAAGAATACAATCCTGTTTTAACAATATACCAAAAGGTGTACAGAATTACTATTCTTAGTGCGGACAAGGATCCCAGAATGTTATACTTTGAAGTGAAAAGTATTTACTTGAAGAAGAAAAAAAAAGGATCAACATTGTAGCTATAAGGAGCTGAATTACATGGAATAATTATAATATATGAATCATGCAAAACAGTATAGCGTAGAATACAAAAGGAAAGAAACGTATCATCAAGAATCATATCGAATATGCGGCAAAATAAGCAGATACACAATTTAAAAAGAGAGAGAGAACAGAGAGAGAGAGAGAGAGAGAGCGAGCGGGGGGGGGGGGGTGGAAAGAGAGTTATATGGAGATAGAGGGAGGAAGAGGAAGAAGGACATATTCAAAACAAGGTTTGACTCTTGAGAGTAAATTCAGCCTCATAACATCTATTTATACTTTATTAAAGTGAAGAGGTGGAGATAAAGTTAGAAAATGAATGTCAAATGGCGAGGTGAAGAGAGAAAAAAGGAGGGAGAAAAAGAGGAGGGAGGGAGGGAGGGAAGGAAATGATATTCCACTTCTCGCTGCCGAAATATGAAGTGCTGGTTACCCATTTCATGTTTAGCCCCAGGCTACCCCGACTTGTACGCCTGTGACATTTGTACTGATATCATACATAAAATTATTAATGTTGTAGGGTGTAAAATTGGAACAAACTGATGTTTGATACTCTTAATCTCAGGGAATTTACGGCAAAACAAAAAATAGGCGTTTAACATTAATGATTTATTAATCCAAGTTTGTTTGGACAAAATAATACTACATGTATCAGATTTCATTGAGGTCGCACTGTCGAAAGTCTTCGGATACCGATCGAGTTCAAAGTACATACTTGATTATATTGTATGCGGAGCGGAGAATACCAAACATTCGGTGTTTACATGAATAACATGTATTACATGCAGCATGATATCACGTGTAGTACATGGGGAATTTTCGCTGACCTAGTTGGAGGAAGTACTTCCTATCTGACACGACATATAAGCTTGTGAATTATATCAATTCAGCTCATGATGGCGGAGAGTTCAACGGAGAGCGGGGGAATGGTAAGCAGATTAACAATTTCCTTCCTCCATGAAACGCCTGTCATAAATAAAGATGCATATAGCATTAATCCTTATAGTCTATGCGTTGTATGCGGCATAATCTATTGCGTGGTTCAGAGTATGCGAAGTTTACATAGGGCCAATAAGAGCCCCTTTACACACAGCAACATAATACAAATCTTCTTTCGTTTCAGTTTCCTGAAATATTACTCCGAAAGGATAAGCTTATATAATGAAAATGACTTTCAGCATGCAGTGCTTGAAAACATACATCGGAACAATTTGAGGGCATTTTGAAGGGGGAAAAATCTTTAAATCTTAAATCAGTATGCTTATTATCAGCCGTCGTACCATTGTTCTGGTTTCTGATGGCCTCAGATCATTATGTACTATTACAAGAATTGCACAAAATCAAGAATTATGTTATTACATTGTTCATGTGCAGTTGGCACATTACAGATACTCTATATGATGATGATGATGGTGGTAATGATGAATAATGATGATAATGAAGATTATAATAATTGTAACAATAATAATAAAACACCATTGCCCATAAAGTTGTAATATTTAACCTTCACGAAGTGATTGTAAGAATGTGGTTTATTATTGATAGTTAAAGACCCTCAAAGTGTTGGAAGCCCCAAATATTTGATGTCAAAATTTCACTTAAATTGTATCATAATATGAAAGCGGATGTCATTTAAGACACATTCCTGCAAGGATTTTCAAAACAGAAAATCCAAGTTATGTATTTTTAAAAATCAATATTTGTCTTCAAACACTTTTTTTTTTTTTGGGGGGGGGAGGGGCATCTTTCCAGAAAGATGTCTTCAATGACATCCTCTTTCAAATTATGATACAATGTAAGCTAAGTTTTCAAAAAAATATTGAATTTGGGGCTCCCAACACTTTAAAGGGGCTTTAAGATTATATCTTCTCCGAACTTCATTGATTAATCTAAAGAGTAACAGAGATTGATTCATATAGTTTTTGAGAAGATACACGTTATCGAGATATCAAGACATATTGTGTAGTCCCTGTGGTGGTTCATGCATTAGGCATGATCACAAGCTATCTTCCTAAACATCTGAAGGAGATTGAGGTTACCAGAAATATAAAACTCCTGCAGCAGTTTGTAGCATGCCCTTAGTATGCTTATTAGATAAAACCAGCATAGATCAAGCTTAAGATATTGATGGTATTATAATTATGATTATGATAATAATAATAATGTTGATGATGATTATGGTTATAATAATGATAACGATAATAATAATAACAACAACAATGATAATAACAATAATCATAAACCAGTAGTTGTTTCACCTAACATGATGCCTGTCTTTATAATTAATTTCTTTATCAGCTTCAATACTTAGTTGTGAAGAAGGTAGATGTGTGCGTATGTAGTGGCAGCCATTCAGACAACGTGCAGGGCCTCATCCAGCAGATCGAGGAAGACATGCCAGACGTCGTAGGAAGCGTGAGGTTTCAGACTCTCCCTTACAACATCAGCGACATGAATAGGTTTGATTTCAGTGGGATAGATGTTCTACTTCTATGTCATTCTATAGAGAACAGGCGATTCTCACTTACCAATGTTACCGATGCTCTGTATGATGGTTTCTTACCGAAGGCAAAGAAGTTTGTGGGTGAGTTCATTTGACGGTCAAATTCAAGCACATTTTGGTCCATAGAAGTGTTCCCTTCCAACCCCCTTTAACAGGGTGGGGATCCAGCAGTAGCATTTTCAGTCGCGAAAATGGTTAATAAAACCATTTAATCACACTGATAGAAAGGTGTACACTGCATGTTGCATTCAAAAAATATAAATAGTAATTAATCTTAAAGCATTTTCATTCCTCGACTCTTCCAAGTATTGTGCTTCTGTCAACACTTTTCTGATTTTGAGTGAAGCGATACTCTTATGATTTGAAATTGTGCAGGAAAAAAGGATTGACGAAAATGTTGTAACATTAAGCGTGCGCCCAAGAGTGCCAGTGGTTGCAAATGTTTTTAAATATAATAGTTATCAATTTAACCCATTCATCCCGAAATTCAGATTAACAGTATCTCTTGAAGTACAGTTCCGTCATCAAAATTCAAAACGCCCTTAACACTATACAGTGCGTCCCAAAAAAAACTATACACTTTTGAAATGGCTGCCAAATAAAAAATATATGATTCTTGGGGAAAATTTGTATATGTATGGAAGGCTCATAAACCCAACGTTCATATGACACCAAAAGGTTCGAAAATAATTCATGCTTGGGTGAGCACTGCTCACTTTTGTACAGGGTATGGAAATTAGGTTGCGCAGGAATTAGCCTTCCAATTTGTGAGAGGTAAATCTTTTGGAGCTTACAAAATTGAGGGTAATATGATACATTCATGATTTGCTGAGTGAATTTCATGGTCTATTAAACCAAACTTTTATGCATGAGTGAACAGGAATTGCATTTTTTATTGTAGCATTGTAAATTTCCCTGGTAGACTCAATGGTGTGTTCATGGGAGTCAGGATGGAGTGATGGTACATGTTGTAATTTCCGTGTTACAAACTGTTATTTCTTTTTTTACATCTGTGACTGTGAATAAAAACCTTCACCAAGATTGTGCATCGAAAGAGGAGGTGGACATATGGGCCATTGTTTCCATTTTCAGATATTTTCTCCCCTTTTTTCTCTTACAAGATGGACGAAACAGTTGTAAAATTGAAAACTGACATGTTCATTTTACAAACTTGTGAATTTGTGTTTAACTGTACCGTATTTCTTGTGCGAAACTCAAGTGCTAAAATGACTGGTTGGTTGGTTGATAGATTGAGTGATTGACTGACTTATTGATTAATTGTGATCGATTTATTGAATGATTAAATTGATTGAAATACTGAATGGTGATTGAATGCTTGATTGATTAATTGATTGACCGATTGACTGATACATTGTTGATTAAGTGATTGATAGCTGAATGTTGATTGTCTAATGAATTGTCAAGATATGCACAAGCATACCCGGGCAGAGAGAGAGAGAGAGAGAGAGAAAGAGAGAAGGGGGAGGGGCATACATGTCCTCTTGACCCTTATCCAATCTACCCAACAAAGTCCTACCCTACATTTCACCTCCCCTGTACCATGTACCATCACCCCGTCCTGACTCCCATGAACACACCACTGAGTCTACCATGGAAAGTTACATTGCTATACGGTAATAACAAATGCAATTCCTGTTCACTCATGCATACAACTTTAATCCCATGAACCACAAATTTCACTTAGCAAACCCAAACTCATCACAATTGATCATAAATTGGTCATATTATTCTCAATTTCATAAGCTCCAAAGGATTTACCTCTTACAAATTGGAAGGCTAATTCCTGCGCAAACTAATTTTCATACCCTATACAAAAGTGAGCAGTGCTCACCCAAGCATGAATATTATTTTCGAACTTTTTGGTGTCATATGAAATTTGGGTTTATGAGCTTTCCATACATATACAACTTTTCCCCAAAGAATATTATATTTTTTATACGGCAGCCATTTCAAAAGTGTATAGTTTTTTTTGGGACGCACTGTACTGAGTGATGTTCATGCATGGGCCCCTAGGCGCAATTTTGGAACATTAGGCGGTGTGGTTTTTCTTTCTCATTTTATTGTCCCGTCGTAATCTTCATCACGGGCTATTTTCTCATTTTAACTCTTTTGCATAGGGAAGAGCAAAGTTGGGGTGATCGCCCATGATTTTCCTGAGGAGGCACGCACAGGAGAAAACCTGACTTCTCGGATGGAATCATTCCGTAACAATCAGGAGACAACATTTACGAGTTCTTCCGTAGTTCTAATCGGTGGTCGTCTCCATCAGGTTCCCGTAGAGATTAATCAAGAACAGCTTAACGAACTCAAACAATTCTTTCGTTTTGCTTCATCACCCCCGCCTGAAGAGGCTGCAGAAGTTTGCTTAAGGAGACGATCATGCATTTTATGCCTTCCATTTGTCCAATGCTGCATGAAGATGTTTCCTTGTTGTAGGCCTCGGCAGAACGTGGGATGCCTTGCTTACTCTGTTCAACATGATGGTTCCCCTTACGCTATCAGCAGAGATGACAATATGGCATGAGTGGCTAATCTACCGAAGCCGCGAAATCCACAAAAGTAATCTCATACCGCAGTTGCTTTTGAAGAGAAAGACAGTACAGAAAAAACAGATCACATTTCCTGAGACACACAGTCACTAATGCTTAGCTTAAAGGTAATACAAAGTTTTGGTATGGGGTCATGAATTTGGTTCAAATGAACATATTGGAAGCATATGCGATCCTACAATATTCAGTGATCGTTGTCGCAGTTGAAATCGAGTCTAAAGTTGTGAAATTTTAGATAATAAACTCTTTAGGTTGTATAGCTCCCTCTCAAGGCCAAGATATTTATTAAGCTATAAAACAATGTTTCTTGACTAAAATCGACCAATTAGCTATTCCCGTTTGGAAATTATTTATCACAGCTACATATTATGAGATTTTCATAGTCGCAACTACCATTGTACGGCCGTAGTCGCTATTCGAAATTTTATCAATATTTACCGGGAGCACCGGTAAATTTTTATATTCAATTTTTCACGAAAGCAGAAGTGTTTTAGGGGCTAAATTTTCTAGTGCTTCTAATACATCCACAGGGGCATCCAAATATATCAAAATTGTAAAGAATCACTATCCACCCATTTTTCAAAATTCCCAAAACTTTGTATTACCTTTAATGCCGGTCACAGCGTGCAGTTCTCAAACGTGGACATGTGCCGCAAAAACGGGGCGAGCCTAGCTCCATCTCTTCACTCGAAAATCAATCTTAAAAATAGCTTGTTTAGGGTAAATTTCAGGAGTGTAATTTAGGGAAAGGGGTGTAAATTTATCTTTTTAAGGTTATTCAGGTCATGAAGTAATCAGGATATTTCTTTTTCTGTACTAACTCCTGAAAGAAAGTGTGTATATTGTTGTTGTTGTTCTTGTTTTTTCTTCTTCGTCTTATTTTTGTATTCTATTTATCTAGTGGCATTCGTTGTTGAAAGTTATAAACATCCTAAAACTTAGCCGCACTAAGAAATATATTCAAAGGACCATATAATACTGCTTGTTTAATCTGAAATTGTACATGGCACTTTTACATTTTCACCACGAAAATAAATATAGAAATAAATGCAATGTATGTATTTCATAACATAATATATCGATTATCTCATGAATTATTCTTATTTCATTCCGGTAAAGTGCATTTATATGTTTAATATTTTAAAAGTAATTATTATCATTATAATATTATAAGGCATTATTCTTGAGTTCCAAAATGGGTTGTGGGCCGGTAGTTTTAATAGAAGCAGAGAAAATGAGATAAAAAGGTCAGTAAACGATTGAGCAAAATCTGATAGAAATAAGAAAGTTATACATTTTTGAAGAGGTCCTCTCCAATTTACTCTGTACAGAATATTTCATAAGCTTTCATGTTCTTAGATTGTTGAGAGAATATATTGTTATACTTACAGAGCACATGGGAGAGGACCTCGCAAGATACGTTACATAGCTGCCAATTAGCGTTTGATTGTACATTCAAAAATTCATAGTTTTTCTATTTTCAATCGTTTTCTGCTCAATTTTTCACTGACATGTTCCTCTAATTTGTCTGCTTCTATTGAAACCACATTAATATCAGGGTGGACTTTCCCTTCTAATCTGCCACTGTAGATATAAATGGCAGATATGGTGTAGCATGTCGTATTATATCATGAGAAAGTAGTTATATAATGGTTTAACTTTTGGATGATAACAGAAAACTTTTCAGTTGGAAAATATTTTGATTTTTTTTTTTTTTAAATGAAGTTCAATTAATGCAATACATTATGTTGCTGTATCATGTCATTTCTCTTTGTATCATGTAGCATTCTCTTCGAATTGCAGAATACCCTTACCATCATAGTGACATTACCAGTAATCTCTATAACGTGTTGTGATCTCAAAATAATATTGACGAGGCTCAATTGTTTCTGATTTTTTTTTTGCTTCACTCATTTAGAGCAACTTGTTATTAAGTTTGCATCTCCATTCTTATGTTACTCTCTTTAATGTTGAACAAATCACTGCCTTTTTGTATATTAGTGTGATGTTTATAAAATTGAAGAGAAAAAAATAATGACAGCCGCTGTTGCAATACGTACTCGTTTACATTTTATTTTGTTTGTCTATTTTTCTTTGCGGGAAAAAAGGGTTAGTATTGGAGTGCTTGTTATTTTGTGAAAATAGCGCATAGCACGGTTAAACTGTTACAGAAGGTCACATGTTTTGGTCATGAAAGGTATAAACTCGGAAGGCACATCAGATGAAGAAGGGGCTTTACATAGGCATTGACTAGAATCCAGGAGGGGTATTCATGACTTCGACGAGTCAAAAAAATGTTCTTCTTCTCAATTTGAAAACAGGAACTTAAAGATGACGTTGAGTTCTGGTCATGCGATTGCATTGTGAAAGAAACGGTGTGGAATCGACAAGAAAAGGTTGATCATCTAGCATAAAATAATGTGTGTGTATTGCAAGGTTCTGGAATTATCAAAATGATAAGAAATTTGGCCAAGTCTTGGTAAAGTTACAAACACTGTACACAGAAAGATGTATATAGGACTACACGAACACGTGGCGTAAAAATCCTACCTCCGAGTTTTACGATTTTACATGACATATTTAGAATATGAAGGCATTTGAAGAGCCATATGCTTTTCAGGGAACATGTCTCATCTGATGTTCTTCCACATTTGCATAATAAAAATGATAACGCTCACAAATTATTTTTCACCTCTTCCCAGAACTGAACCTTCTCTTTAACCCTCATTTGACGAAAAAGGATCAAGCTTAGCCTATGCTTTTTTACCCTTACCCTGGATTTAGCTCATGCTGCAATGATAATTATAAACCTTTAGGTCAGTCAGGAACCCCATGAATTTAACAAGCCGATCGCCTGTCTGATTATCAATATATTAATGATTGGAAATCGAAACCAAATTTTGCGTTTGAAAAAAAAAAGGATTTCATAACACGACAGTCTATTGGGGGAAACGAGTATGGTAAAATCGGTCACTCAAAGATTTTAATTTTTTTGAGGTACTTCTTGTTCAAAACGCGATTTTTGCGGCTTTAATTAATATTACACCATATCACAAACACAAACACAAAGGGCCGTGCATCTCAGATTTTAAATTGTTAAACGATGCAATCATGAGATGCAATGTTCTCTGTCCACTCAGAACAAAAATTGTTTTTTCAAACGCCTTTTAAAATTAATTGTTTAAAAGGGCGTTTGAAAAACAATCTACCGCTTCTGCATGGCTGTTGCACACGAGATTTCACGTTGATGATGTTGTTACCTGTGCTATAACTCCTGATATGTCATCAATTGAACATATAATATTTGCAGTGATGAATATTTGGTGATCATTTTTGTACGGCGTCACCCTCGTCTCTTGCACCAAAGACCACATAAATTAACGTTCCCGCGTCAGGCCGGCAAAATGGGGCCTCGTGTGCAACATTAAGAATTATGCGCTCACTGACAGATTACATTCATATAAAACAAGCCTGCAGGTTATGATATCATGATGTTAAATATAATATAATTTTTAAAGTCTTGAATGAAGAATAGATTATAATGGTTTGATCAAACGAACATTAACATTTTGGCATTGTTTTAACGTAATTTTAGCCCACCGATATAATATCCAGCTTGACTCCGCCCGTAGCACTCTTTTAGACAAGGATTAAAACAAAAGATATGTATGTGTTGAGACAGGAATGATATTGGATAATCAGTGTTGTAGGGTACGTGAGGCAATGGTAATGACCTTTGACCCTGAACATTCATGTGCATGGAACACACACATTACACACGCGAAAGTAATGCTGAACGAGCTACTGGGAATTCCCCGTTTTCATGTTTGTCTCGCGCGCTCATGTTAACTGCACTATGCATCCATCTGTAATGTACGTCAAGACGCACGCAAAATATGACGATAACAATGGAGTAACGTATTATTGCTCCTGGAATGAACATATTTGCTAAGCTTGTCGTTTAATTGACTTCGCACCTTGTCTTGTGTTTTCCTCACACCGCTCTGGTCTCATTGAAGCGTGAAAAAATAAATCAAGTGAGTATACAAGAAACAGTAGTAATATTGCATGATTGTGTGTCTTGTACAGTTGTATTCGTGTTTGGTCTTATATCATACACACTGTCTAGTTTATCTCTTGCTTAATATAAAGAAATGCAGTGGAAACCGATGTTCAAATGTTGAATTGTATTAGAATATTACGAAGTCGGGACTATCATTTCCGAAGATCGTTATTGTTGTTGTCAGGTCTATTAGTATTATTATTAGGAGCAGTAGTATTACTACTACCACTATTGTGGATTATTATCATCATCAAGCAATAATTGTTATGTATTCAAAATCACTATCACCAAAAAAGAGAAGAACGAGGAACTATATGCCGTCGATGTCCCATCTCCATGGAAAGGAAATGCAATCCCGTGTTGAAATACAACATCGAATCGTAATATGTACCATTGGTTTTATTGTGAATAATGACTATAAAGCAGAATACGAAATTATTTACTAAAATGTTCCTATAACCTGTCCCTCTGCCCATACGTTGATTTTTCTGAGGAAAATTGGTCATGTGATTTTAACGTTTAGCAACATTGCAAAGAGTGCGAAGTAGTGGCATATGAAACGGACCTCGCAATAGTTTGGTGAAGATTAACATAACTAATCCTTTTAAATGGATTAATATCCTTTATACGTATATAATATTGTATTAATTGTATACTATTATCTCGTTAATATAATTACGCACACAGGAAATGTCTTCGGGTCGGAAAGTGAAAGTGGCTGTGTACAGCGGGAGTCGGGAAGACAACGTGGCAGGTCTTATCCAGGAAATAAGGGACAGGATGACAGATTATGTTGAAGAAGTTATATTTGTTCAACTCCCTTACAACCTTAGTGACATGTTAAAGATGAAGCTGGACAAGAATTACTACATGGTGCTATGTCATTCCATCAACAACAGACGGTTTTCAATCACCAATGTCACAGATGCTCTGTATGATGACTTCTTAAAGAAAGCCAAGAAAAGACTAGGTAAGATGAAATACTTTTTAAAATATTTCTGCCCCTATTCTTCAATACAAATACAATCAATACAATATCAATACAAGATTTGTGACGGCAAGAAGGAAATATACAGAATGTTTTTTTAAAAGGGAAACCGAAACTCTCCATCAACCTCTCGTCAAATAAACATAACTTCATTTATTGTTATACATCACAATAACACAAATGTTATCCCCTCTCTATTATGATACCGCATTTGTGATGATATGCTCATTGAAATGAAAACCATTTAAAACCAACAATTAAAAAAAAAAATGATTTGCGCGCAAGAGTGGGATCTATGCAATTGGTGGGGGCGGTGGAACCCCACTCATATAATTATAAAATGGATGAAAGCGGCTATGCATTAAAAGACAATGCGGTTGGGCACTTAGGTCCATGCTTCTACGCATTGTTATAATTACTTCGGTATTTGAATGTGATCTGTCCCTAGTTTTTATTACAATTTAGATCTTACAGCAATTCACAGTCATGTGGTTTGAGGGCTAAATTATGTACCCTCGATTACTGTTTTTTGTTCTATTTTAACTGGCATTTTCTCCTGCAATGTTATTGTTATTTTGTTTTGTAACAATGTTTATCAATGGCTATGATCATGTTTAATTTAGAAGGAAAAAAGACTCTATGAAGGGGAAAAAAAACACATTAAAGCAGAAGTAAAAATAGGTTAACTAACATATTCAAATTTTGTGCATACTTTTTAAACAAAAGCTGTTCTTGACATATATCAAGAAGTTATAGACTGGGTTCCAAGTAATAGTATTGTAGTTCATTCGTTAATAAAATGTTAATGGGATAACTCGTCATTATACAGGTCACCAGGAAAGAAACATCCGTATCTCTCTATAAAAAAAATCGAGTGATCACTGACGTGACTCCTCTGGAGAGTGAAAATGTAGTGAAAATGTAGTGAACATTTACTGTTTTCTTATTAAAGTCAAGCGATATTCACTCCTAAACAAGTGATCACTAACGTGACTCCCGGGGGAGTGAAAATAGAGTGAACATTCACTCTTTTCTTCTTATAGAGAGAGATATAGATTTGAATATGTTAGTAAAACCGGTCTATTAGTAATTCACAACTTAAACTTTCCATCCTTAGCCGTGCATGGGTACAATGTGACAAGGGACACCTCAACGTCTGAAGAGGTGGTTTCCCTAATATTAATTTCATTATTCCTAGCTCTCTCCCATCCCCCAACCCCCCCCCCCCCCCAACCCCCATGCACCTCATACGTCTTTGTTCCCATATACCACGGTAAACAGCCGTTATAATGTTCCTATCAATGAGAGATTAATGCAGGCATATACTGCGTGAATTTCTTTAACTATTTTAAACCCCCTCAAAATATAAAGTAGGCCTGTACTTGTTTGGTATATCGGCTTCGTTCAGTTGCAAAATGACAGAAAAGCTTATTTACCGAAATCATTTTTATCCATATTTTTTTTTAGATCGCCGTAAGGTGGGTGTGATCGCTCATGACTTTGGGTCTGATGAACTTTTGCCTGAAAAACTAGAGAGCAGGATGGAATCTTTCCGAAACAGTCAAGAAAGAACATTCAGAAAATCAATGCTGCAACTCATCGGTGGACAGCTGTCGAAATCACCTGTTGAGCTAAGCGATGGTCAATGGGAAGAACTAAGAAAATATTTCAGAAATGAATTGAAAACCCCAAAGCCAAAAAAGCCTGGTCGGAGAAATTCCTGCTTGTAATTTCAGTCACAAAAATCGTAAACAGACATTATTGTGTAATGCAATGTCGCAATGAAAAAATGTGATGTAAAGCTATCAAGAGAAGTAGTGATATAAGATCATTTGTATAGCATAACAATTGATTTAGCTTTCATCGTTTTTATATTTCTGACAAAATTAATTTCATGTCAAATAAAATTGTATTGTTTAATGAAAAAAGATAATAGTTTAATGAATTGATAAGGGTAGTTTTGGAGTTGCTTATAGTTTCAATAAAGGACAGTGTAAAGCGTATAAATATGAACGAAAAGGTAGAATTTCGTCGTTTCCTGTAGGCCTCCTTTTTTATAAAAAGTTGTTAGCCTATTATACTGAACATATTTCGGAATATTTGCATGTAAGATATGAGTCATTCTTTATTCATTGTGAAGCTGGGAATGTTATGTTCAATAATGACGGAAACACGATGCCATGTTCCCGTTTTTTTTATTTACTTAACTTCCCTTTTGATTATTCATATTCCTGGACCGTGGCCCGCAAAAACACATGTTACACCGAAAGTGGGGTGGACTTTGCCTGATGCCATATCTTACCTGCATTCATTCGTTTAATTACAATTCAATCGATGATAAATATACATCATATGTCCGTGAATGTATAGTCACAGGACGTGTAATATTGAACGGAATTGAGGAAAATAGCTCCTGATAGATGTGGTCCGCCAATTTATTGAACGGTATATAGATAATACTCGTTAGCGAACCAGGACATGCAGTGGCGGACCAGAAAAGGAATCTAGAAAATCGGTACAGGTTTTCTTCATGAAATATCAGATCGTTGAGAGACCACTTAAATTTCTGCCTAAGGAGACGAGACCATAGGCGCCGGAAGTGGGGGGGCAGGGGGGCAGTTGCCCCCCCAGTCAAAAAGTGGGGGGCAAAACGCATTTTTGCCCCCCCCCCCAAAACGCCCCCCCCCCCCCCACCCCCTCCAAAAAAACCAAAAAAACAGTAAAGGAGTAAACATGGTTCGTATTTTTAGTCCAAAAGAATGTAACAATAAACTAGAATTTAAATCGTCACGAGGACGATTAAGGTGGTCTGTCTTCAAGTCTTATGATAGATTATAATACTTACTATATTGAGAAAGGGAGAAGTTATATAGACATGTAAACAATGATGATCATCATGATGATCATGATGATGATGATCTTGATAGTAATGTAGATGACGATGTTGATGATGATGATGATGATCATGATGATGTTGATGATGATCATCAACAGACCATGATGACATCTGATTGAAAAAAATGAGGGAACATTTAGATAGCATATAGTCTCAGCTACAACATACTCCAAAATCAACAAAAACCAAACGGAAATAACGGCGATATTGCTCGCAAAAGACAGGAATGTAGAATCCAGATTTGAGAAAAAGTCATCTCCCATAGGGACTACACTCAAAAAGTAATGGATCAAGTGATAATAGGGGAATAATAAAGTAAACATGGTTGTTTATAACATTATTTGTGATTCTACGTGTTTTAATAAGCAAAGGAAAAGGTACAGTGAAAGGTCAAAAGAAAAAAAAAGTGAAGAAAAAAATTGTTGGAGACGCCCGGACTCGAACCAGGGACCTCGAGGTCGGAAGTCAAGTGCGTTACCGATGTACCAAAATATTTCCCATAGAGATTACACGTAAACGGAAAATGGAATTATCAAATCCCACTTTGTAAGTGAAATATGAGCATGATCCCGGCATCTGATCGAAAATTAAAGGGCACACTTACGATAGCATATTGACTCAGCTACAACATACTCAAAGCTCAGCGTAAACGAAGATAAAACGACGGAGATATTGCTCGCGAAAGACAAGAATGTAGAAACCAGTTTTGAGAAAAAGTCATGTCCCATAGAGAATACACGCAAAATGTGAAAAATTGACATGCCTCCTTTAATCGCAAAAATACGCCATGATGCCATTGTTCAAATGAAATATCGTGGCAAATACATTCGTAGAGAATATTCTCAGCTAAAACATATCAAAATTTGAAAGAAAATTGATCAATATTTACAGAGATACAATCAATTTTCCAAAAATCTGCTAACGTCATAATATGCAAATTGAAATTTTAAGTTCGGAGGCCATTATGATGACGTCATGAGTTAATTGAGGGTCAAATGAGACATGAAATCATATCTCCGACTCATGATCTATCTAATATGAAAAAAATTGGGGGTATCTATCCATTCTGAAGAGTTAAAATGAATTTTGTATAGGCTTGTTTTTGCACATGTAATGTGGATAGGGATAATGCAGATCCGCGTGTGCTGTAAACTTTGACGGACGCTCATTGCGTTATCACTGGTCAGAAAAAGGTGAACAAGGTATCAAAATGCTTGGAAAAATGTGGTTGATATGATAGAGAAAATTTGGCGTTTCCATGTTGTAAAATGTCAGTACGCGCACTTACGCGCGGAAACGCGCGCAAAAAAGTGCTCTCGCGCAAAATCTTGAAAATGCTTACAATGGCCTGAAACGTGTGCAAAAAAATTTGGGACGAATTTGAGCATTTTAAAATTTTAATGCGCGCGTACGTGCGCGTCGAGGTGCGTGCGCAAATTTTGTTGACATTTTTAGTTGAACTTTGACCTGAAGTTGATGTATACCAAATATGGTTTATTTTTGAAGACTCGTTATCGAGATATGATAATGACTTGATTTTTACAAAATGGCGCCTGGATGACGTCACGATGACCCCATGAACTTGAAAAAGGTTTCGGGAACTTCATATCATAGGGCCTGATGACTAGCAGAAATTTGAAGGAAATTGACCAGGTCGAGTTCGAGTAAACGTATACACAAAAAAAGTGTACGGAATAAATAAAAATAAATAAAGAATAAAGAATAAAGAATAAAGAAAGAAAATTCTAACGAAATCAATAGGTGATCTGTCATCGACAGACCACCTAAAAAAACCCTGAGTTAAATCACATATACAATTCCATTCAAAGAAAAAGGAAAGTTCACAGGTATTAAATTTCATAAACATTGCGCATGCCACCAATACGGTATTTTAAATGGAGGTCTCTATAATAGCGATACGCGCATATCGTGGACATATTGTGCGAGAATGGGAAAGCGTGTCCGGTTTTTTTTGTTATAGGGGTGAGAAGACATGAGCCCCTGAACGCTGGCGTACTGATGGGGGGGGGGGGTGATGTATTTCTTATTCGAAACAAGTGATTTACACATGTTGATGTTGTGACATGATTTTCCGGCATTTTTTCTCCATTTTTTTGTAAGTCATACCTTTTTATGCGTTTGTTGGAAAAAAAGAAATTCCCAAATTACAGTCAGGTGAAATACGATTATTTAGAAGCCTTTATGTCATGGTCTGCAAAGTGGCTGGGCACGAGCCCCCCCCCCCCCCCATCCTTTTTTTAAAAGTATGTTAAAGAGAAAAAGAAAGAAAGACGGAGACAAAAATAAGTGACCTGCCAATGTCACAAATAAGGTATAAAAAATGCTCATCTGACCTTAATTAAATACCTAAAACCCCTGAGCTTACGGGGGCTCTGCCCCCTGGACCCCACCAAGGGCCCTAAGGCGGGCCCTAGGATGCTCATCTGACCGTTATTAAATACCTCAAATCCCTGAGCTTCCGGGGCTTTGCCCCCTGGACCCCACCAAGGGCCCTAAGGCGGCCCCCTGGATGCTTATCTGACCTTAATTAAATACCTAAAACCCCTGAGCTTCCGGGGCTCTGCCCCCTGGACCCCACCAAGGGCCCTAAGGCGGGCCCTAGGATGCTCATCTGACCGTTATTAAATACCTCAAACCCCTGAGCTTCCGGGTCTTTGCCCCCTGGACCCCACCAAGGGCCCTAAGGCGGCCCCCTGGATGCTCATCGGACCTTAATTAAATACCTAAAACCCCTGAGCTTCCGGGGGCTCTGCCCCCTGGACCCCACCAAGAGCCCTAAGGCGGGCCGCTGGATGCTCATCTGACCGTTATTAAATACCTCAAACCCCTGAGCTTCCGGGCTTTGCCCCCTGGATGCTCATCTGACCTTAAGTAAATACCTAACACCCCTGAGCTTCCGGGGGCTCTGCCCTCTGGACCCCACCAAGGGCCCTAAGGCGGCCCCCTGGATGCTCATCTAACCTGAATTAAATACCTAAAACCCCTGAGCTTCTGGGGGCTCTCCCCCCCCCCCCCCTTTGAACACGTCAATTGCCTTACAGAGGGCCCCTGGACGCTCATCTAACCGTAATTAAATACCCAAAACCCCTTAGCTTCCGGGGGCTCAGCCCCTTGACCCCCTGCTGAGGCTCATGCCCTGGACCCCACGCCAATTTACGCTCTACCTGATCGATAATACTCCACTTTGAAAAACATTCCGCGGGACCTGCATGTAACGTGTAAGACTGGTGGTAATGCAGATTTTTCGTCTGCCCCCCCCCCCTTCCGAACTTTTTTTTCTCATTACGTCACTGCCCCTGGAATGTGAGCCCCCTGGAATGTTTGCCCCCCAATCCCAAACTGCTTCCGGCGCGCCTGGACGAGACAGTATAGTATAGTTATGGTTGGCTGAAGAAAATTGCTCACATTATGACTAGGGCTTACTTGCATCCTAAACCAGTCCTTATCATTCCTAAAATGTTCCTAAGTTTTATTCATTTTGAAATGGACCTACTGCATGTTTTCTTGTTTAAGAATCATTTTCTAATAAGCGTATTATATATAGAGATGCCTATATATTGACGGGGGTTAATTTTGATCTTCTAAATAAGGATTTGACAAATGAATTACAATTTCGTATAAAAATCTGTTTTACTTTTCCACTTAATTTTCTAAATCACATGTGAATGCGTTGTTAATTGTGCCTTACTCTTAGTCTTAATTACTCAGTACCATCCAGTATAATGTTGGTTTTATGCGAATTCAAACGTATATGTTGTATTTTCTAAGTCACACCGCTAAACGATTGTGATGCTGCACCCATTCTACTTTCATTTCACATTTATATTCATACCTGAATTTATTCATGATGTGATTCAGAATTGTATTTAAAATTCTTGCTATGTATAAGTCATATAACTGTCTTGTCATATTTTGTGCTGGAAGCCGGAGGACCGTACCTGCTCATAGACTTTTTCTTATAGAGTCTTGACGCCCTTCTGGCTTTCAGCACACGACACCATGTTTTTGTCTTATGTTTTATGTATTACATGTTACACCAATGGAAAACAAATTTCTGTATTATATTATGGACAATAAAATCTTGAATCTTGAATCATAATCATACTAAACATTAAACCTACTTTACACCGACCATTTGTTTTAAACATTTGGGGGTAATGTAATTTGTTTTTCGGTCTGGGGTCGGACTCGTTAGTGTGACTGAAACAGGGACGGAATCAAAGTTGCAATAATTTTGAGTGAAACCATGTATATAGTTGATTTTCACTTTAAAACAGTCTTTTAGTGATAATAATGATTATACATAACTCACTCCGTCGAATTTATTCTGTCGTTGATTCAATAAACCTGCGAATTTTTTATTATCACGTTTCTATTTTATTCAATACAAATGGCAATTTTATATTATGAATGAAACTAAAGTGTATTTAAGTATACACAATATTTGTTAAGTTTTCCATATCGCTTACTGTGTTATCAATGTAGTTTTATACCATGTGCCTTTTACTCTGTAAATTGAACAATTTCAGCTATCAACTGTTCGATGATTTTTATCTTAATAAACCGGTACATAACAATAAAATATTTTAAAGAGTAGGGGGGGGGGAATCGAGCACTGTCCCCTCAAAATATCTACAATAGACCCCGGTTCAAAATTCTTTCAAGTGTGTAATTTACCGTTACATCGCATTTTAAAGCAATATCTAGTCAGAATTTATGTACATAGATTATTCTTGCCTTCTCCTTTTCTTTTGTGTATGAAGAAAAATATCATTAGTGGCGGATACAGGAATTTGAAATGGGAATGTTCACAACTCTGACAAGCAAGCAAGCAAGTAACAAAAACAACGACAATAGCCGACTTTTTTTTGGATGAAAATTTGGCAGGAGCACACACGTTTATATATTTGCATATTTTGTTATCTTAGGTAACTATGTCCCCTCCCCTAGATGAATCACCGCCTTGATTCTATGATTATCTTGATTATTTGCTTCTTTATTATTAATCGTTATAAAAACACTTGTATTCGGATTATTACTGTGTAATGTCGATGCCATTATTGCCCACTATGCATATTATTCAGAATAAAATTGAATAGAAATCCACAAGTTTTTCTTTTTCGTCGAACGACCATTTTTCAGAGTGAAATTCATCACGTAGATCATTTATGCATTGACCAATACATCGTTTGGAATACATTTCCCCCTCAATTCTCTGTTCAATTGTACATAGCCAATTAAGTACATAACTAAAGTAATTAATCCTCCATTTGCTACGGCGAAACTACTCCGGCTTTAATGATTTCGCCAAATATAATACATTTAGGATTTACGGCTACGATTGTTTAACGTTAGGTTAAAATTGGAGTTAGTAGGGATAGGCTATCTACATTAAGTGATAATCCGGGATTTTGGATTCGTATCACTATAATTAAAGATGCAAGCTGGATAGTCTAGGCCCTACAAATAATAAAAGTTAACTTGTGTTATATGGCTCCTAATATATGTACATGTATATGTACATGTACAATAACTAATAAACCACGCTACGAAATCTTGATATTTCATTTTAGAAGATCAAAATATCAACCACCTTAGATCTCCCTTGTTTTTTTCTTTCTCGCCTCATTTCGTACGCTTGTCTAAAAATAACTAGCAGAGCTAATAGGGGGATTCCCCGATGACCGTATGAAAACGCGCATGCGTAAATCACCACCACTGGTCAAATTTCCCGGACTATCTGCGAAGTTTTAGACACAAATATGTTAATGTGTGGGACTTGTAAAAAAGCATTATGCAACTTGCATTCACACACGTAAGACGCAGACGTTTTGCTGAATGAAGCTGGAACTGCGTTGCATGGACCAAAGGCAAGAATCCAGATTTACTGATGATGACTGCTCAGCCTTAGGTAATTACTGGTAGAATCTTCAGTGGTACTGGTAGTATAGGGGTAGTGGTACGTGGTAGAGTCTAGTCACTAGTGGTACAAGAAAACCATGGTGTGATCAAACTTCAAGTTCAAAGTAATGTACGTACACCGCATTGACTTGAGAAAAGGCCTCATTCATTGTACTTAAAAACTGTTGCCTTTAAAAAGTGAGCAATATTGTGAAATGTGAAACTGGGGCTGTCAACTTTGGGAAACTGCATCGAAATGCAAGCATTTTTTTTGCTCATTGGGGTGTTAATTGAGTTTAAAAAAAATTATGTTTAAACGATTTCATTTTTAGTGCTCACTACCTACCCCCTCCCTTGAGCAAAGAGAAAAGGTAAAATTGTGGTCACTATGTTTGGCGGGAGGTTTTTTCATAAACCGGGAAATTCTACATCAAAGCGGGAGGAAGGGCGTGGTGTCAACTGTTGGGTCACGGTGTCTCCCGCTACGAGCTGGTGGGACGGCGGGTACGGTTTGAGTGTGCATGGTGACGTAAGACTCCCTCCAAATGCGGGAGGGTTGACAGCCCTGGTGAAACAACCTTGAGCTCAGTTTCACAGACAATGCATGCTAAGTCCAGAATGGTGGAGGGGGGGGGGGGGGGGGGGGGGGACACCAATGATTTTGACTCCCCCCCCCCCCCCCCCCCCCCCCCCCCCGTAATTAAAAAAATAACAATAATACCGGTATTAATAAAAATTTAAAAAATCACTGTCCATGTAGAGGCTGGTGTATAAATGATTGCCTATTTCACAATAGAATTGATGATATTGCCCAAAGTTCTGGTGAGATGATTAACGTCTTGATGACACAATTTATCTATTCGTTTTGTCATGTCAAATACCCCTGCAGAAGACCGACTAATTTTTTTTAACTGTGAATGACAATCAAAGAGCGCAACCTGCAGAGGATCCTCTGACTGAGAGTAAGAATGAATTCATCAGACGGCAAACAAGACAATGATGCACAGCTGTCTGGATGTCCAGCAGAAACTGTAAGTATATAAAGACTGAAACTTGATATTGCAGTTTTAGAAAAGATTTAAACCAATGGTCTGGAGTCACGGCTTGGTAACCTGGTGGGGGTGGAGGGTTAGGGCGGAAAGTTAACAAGTCGCTAAAAAAATGACTGATGCACACAGCAAACACCTGAATGAATGGCTTTAGTCCATACCCTGATAGCTGTTTCACTTAAAAGATGTAACCAATTGCCGTGCATACTTATTTTTGTATGATGGAGAAGGGGGGGGGGGCTATGTCTTCGCACCTAACATATCACTTGAAATGGTCAATTTTCTTTTCTTTTTTTTACCCTAATGTTTGAGCACATCTTATTCCTCATATTATAGAGAGTAAGTGTGCCGAAAAATCTCATCAAATTTTGAGTAAGAACATGGTCATTTCATAAGTAAAGGCAGTGGTGTCAATTTGATATTGCAAAAACAAAAGGTGTCCTTGTCCGCGCACTTGTTCACTTTACATACAGTTTGGGATCTTTTACGTGAAAGATGGCATTTTGAGGCTAATTAAAATAGATATAAAGATTTCATGTTTGTTTCATGTTTGGTTTTGTTCAAATCCCACAGTTAACAGATGTGGGCACTCTACCCATAACAGTTTTCACTTCAGTCCATTTAGCTCACACATAGCATAGTATGAGACACTGTTTTAGAAAATTTGCTACAAGTGACATACAGACATATTGTTAATTTCCCCTATCTATCTACTTATTGCTAGTCGCCCCTTCCTTATATAACCATGTACTATTTTGTTTCATGAGGGAAAATATTCCCAGCTTGAAAATTAAAAAAATGATCAGGAGAATGATGTCCAACACAATAGTTACATGTACCACTCTTTTTGTATTTGTGTTCTGGGTTTAAAGGAACTAGCTGGGAGAGCTTCAATGTGTGAAGGATGTCCTGGACAGGCATTGTGTCAACAGCAAGGTGGGTACCGTAGTTTAAAAGAAGAAAAAAAAAATGTAAGAAGGCTCTTTTCAATTCAATTCCAGTTCAGGATTGAAGGTAAAGGGTTCATTTATTACTTTTTTGTTTTTTTGTTATTGTTCTTTTTTTCGGGGATCAACAATTTATATGCGATGATCTCTATATCATTAACTTGATTTGGTTATAATAAAGCAGAGACGCCAAGGTAAAAGATCGGCAATGCGTGACATTTTCATTTTTCGGCGCGCAAGCGCGCGTGCAAGGGTATAACACACGTATAGGTATGGCGTTTTTTTTAAATCTAGCGCGCGCGCCGTGCGTGAAACCGTTTTCAGACCCTCCAAATGCGTGACGTCACGCCTAATGCGTGACACTTGGTAGCTCTGATAAAGTGTGGCAAGAGGTATGTTCACACCTGCTTTGATTCTGTTGTACAGAAAGTCTTTGATGTAAACTTGGAGAGGTTGATAAAAATGAAGGATAAAGAATATAAAATAAATGTATACGTATAGAGAAACAAAGTGATGTTATTAGTGACCCGAAAATATTGTTTTACCTCCTAAAAACATTTTGAAGTTTGAACCGCCCTTCCTCCTTTATCTTTATTCTTATTTTTGTTTGCTGGTGTAATAACCCGTTTTCATCTCTCATACATATACAAAATCGTGCACTGTGAATTGCCTCTCCCTTTCTCTCATCAAAACCAACAATCAATTAGGAGTTAGGCCTAAGAGGGATTTGTCCCTTACACTGTTCTAATTGCCCTGTTGTCCACCAAATACAACCTGAATTTTCTTCTTTGAAGCCCTTTTTCCGTTATTGAAAGTAATTGAAGTATTAAAGGATTAATGCCATTCGACATAACATACTTATTGTCACAGAATTGAACATATTTTGATAATTGCTTCTCCACCTTTTGTTTTCCTACAGGTGGTGTAGACCCGGACCAAGAGTTCATCGATGTGAGGATGAATGCCATTCAACATAAAATACTTATTGTGTCAGGGAAAGGAGGTGAGGCAGTTAATTATACTTTCTTGGCTTTGATCCTTCAATTCAATTCAATTCAAGATTTATTGAATATATCTTTGCAGCCGAAGATGGCTGAATTGCAATATAGTTCAAAGATAAAAATATGCAAAATTACAAATAAACATATCTATTACAATGAACATAGATTGGCATGAATTTAAAACAAAATAGAAATAAGACTACAGAATTACAGTTGAAGTTCTAGTTAAAATAATTCCCTAAATAATCCAAAACGATACAATTTGATTTTGATATTTCAATCATTTTCATTTGTTATCCTGGGCGTATTATTCAACAGGCTAATATAAAAAAAGGAGATTAAAGATGCTCAAGCTTATGCTGTCTTCCAGTAATGAAATGAACTATTTTTGTTGTGTGAAATATGTTGTCTTACTAACACTGCATCGGACAGTATTACAGTATCAATTGATTTGATCTCTGGTATAGACTTAAGCAGCATTTGATTCATTGTAAGCCTATAATTCTGTTGAATGTGAAAGCCTTCTCAACCCGAAAGTTGTATTTGTGTTAACTCCCTTTGTCTTTATCTTGTGTTAGGTGTTGGAAAATCTACAGTGGCAGCATCACTTGCTCTTGCATTAGCTCAGCAGAATAAGAAGGTAAGAACTGCCAACGTTTATATATCATTTCTCTTTTTTCTGGTACGTATTAAGTATTTGTGCTTTAAAACAACACTATTCAGTTCAACGTCTATTGTATTGGTTTTTGATAATGATAATAATAATAATAATACCAGTGTTCATAGCTGTCAAGGTGTGAAGTTCATGGAACATACTTTGATATTATTTAGCCTGCTTATAGCCGGGCTGTTATGAATACTAGCACTCATGCTTAGCAGGTATCCATTTTCACCTAGATGGTGAGTAGCAAATGCAGATTAATCTTGTGCCAGAGGACGTTGGTGCCAGGCTGAGATTTGAACCCTCAACCTTAGGATTAAGAGTCAAGTGGATGAACCCCTAGACCAATGCAATGATCTTTCTATCCTGCTCGTGTCTGTTTTTCCATACCTCAGGTGGGGATTCTAGATGTTGACATCTGCGGTCCAAGCATTTCACAGCTCATGTCTGTCCAAGGTCAAAAGGTCATCAACACACAATGGGGATGGAAACCTTTACAGTAAGTTTGACATGTCACCATAAGATAAAAAAAACTATTATAGTCAAACCTGCTTTATTGACCACTTGTATAGAAAGACTACCTGCCTACAAAGACCACATTTGTTATTTCCCTTGAAAATGGTTTCTCATTGAAAAATGTACTAAAGGAACCTGTACATAAACACCACCTGCCAATAAAGACCACTTTTCTTGTTTCCCTTGTGTGGTCTTTATAGACAGGTTTCACTGTATTACTGTTATTCAGTGGTCCATTACCCGTGACTGGATCAAAATGTGCTTTATTATTTCATGTCAAGCATACATATTTGTAGATTCTTTTTATGTTTCAAATACCGGTAGGTCAAATTCATCATATCCGTGCTCTTTAAATCGTTTATCAGCCAATCAATATTGTATAATTGGATGTATGGATGATTCAGATTACATGACTTGCTGCCTCATGCTTTGAGCAATTATTATGGAGGAAAACTTTGCTGTAATTGCTCTCTACTTTGTTTTTTGTCTGTTTTTTTTTTGAAGGTCTAAACATGGCGGCATTAAAGTGATGTCTGTAGCATCTCTATTGGACCAAGCAGATAGTGCTGTGGTGTGGAGAGGGCCTAGGAAGACTCACATGATCAAACAATTCCTCAAGAACACCTTCTGGGGCAAACTTGACTACCTCATCATAGGTAAATGAAATTTTCTCAGGAAACTTATTTAAGGTATAGAGAAGTTGAAAATCCACATCTTGCTTGCTCCCATTGGCTAGGTTGAGAATCACTTGTAAGATTGAGTATTTGATATCATCAACGCAATGTACCTTTTATTTATTTAAGCCGAGTCAGTACAATAGCTTTGACCGCAATGGGATGTCAGGCTTCCTTTATGTGTCCAACACCCTGCCTATCATTTATATGGTCTGAAGATGTACTTTAATACAGCAGACAAAAGCGTACAAACCATTTCACGAGTTGTACATGACAATTAATCTCTTCTTGGCTTAGGGATGTAAAAAACTAATTTAAAATATTTTAAAAATCACAACGTATGGTTTTGATCCATGCCAAAGATAAGGGTCAACAAAAGGGAGGATAACTGTCAGGATTTATGTTGTATTGAAATGCATAATTTTGCAAAAATAGCAGGTTATTGCTTTCTGATATTTAATACTTTTCTTTTTGCTTTTAAACATATTGGGGTTTCGTTGCTTTCAAGGAATCTGATACAGGAAAATAAGTATCATTTATAAATAGAAGTTATCCTCACAATATTTTTGTTTTGTTAACATTGGTTTCCTGTACGACAGATACCCCACCAGGCACCAGCGATGAGCATCTGACCATCTTGAAGGTGCTAAGGAACACAAGGCCTGATGGAGCAGTCATCGTCACCACTCCACAGACGGTCGCCATGGATACCATATACAAGGAGATTGATTTCTGCAAGAAGATGAAGCTTCCTATCTTAGGACTGGTGGAAAACATGAGTGGTTTTGTGTGCCCCTGCTGTCAGGTGAGGAACGAAAATCTGTTCATCATAACAACCCCCTTGAAGGAGACACGATGGCTCAGTGGTGGAGCAGTGGTCTTGTAACTGGGAGGTCCCGGCTTGAAACCAAGTCGATGCGCTTGTGCCCTTTGGTGATCGAGGCATTAATCTTTATTACCAAGTCCCTCAGAGAGGACTAAAAGCTGTCAGTCCCCTGGCTGCTTACTTACAAGCATTCACATTCCCTCTTAGCAGTCAGGTAAAACAAACATCAAACCAAACCAAACCATATAACTGAGCTGAGATCATCTAATTATACCAAGAAAACACATTTTACCCCAATCCATGACCTTCACAAATGCTGTCTATGACCTTTAACTTGCTATACCCATACCATAACCTTACATGGACAGGGGCACACCGTTACCTGTGGTAATCCCTAGTTTCTAGTACATCCCCAATTGCCTTGTTTGTATACTTTTATATCCAAAATTGACATTTCCAATAAGTCTATGTAGTAGATACACGCACCACCACAATAAAAATTACCCTGTAACAATGACTCTGCAAATGTATTTACCAGTATTGGTACTTCATTTTTTCCATTACAGGAGGTTACCCGTGTGTTTTCTGGTGATGGAGTAGAAACGTTGGCCAAGGAATCAAATCTCAAAATTCTAGAGAGATTACCACTTGATCAGGTGAGCAGGTTGGAGAATAGAAATTGCTTCTGAAATGTTAACCATCATGAATCAGTCATTATTTACCTAATTTATGATATTGAATGACTCTATGTTCTAGAAAAACATTTGTTTTCCTCCCAATCTCATGTGTAATGATTTCAAATTTATAAAAGATAACTATGTGTCTGCCATTTGTTGAAAAATTCATAGAATGATCAAAAAATATTCTGCAGTTTAATAACCAATGCGCTGCTTTATCTGCATGCACAAGCATTTTAAGAGAATGTAGTACCAATAAAAAGCCCCAAAGCTGTATGTATAAGTTGATGCCCTTGAGCTCAATAATATTTATTTATAGCCTATCTGCACTAGTTTGGCCAGGAGGAATTAGACCTCCCTGCATGGTCACTGAAAAGTTGTTATCTCATCAAATCAGCTCTCAATTAACATAAGAAAAAGGGGACCATGGGGGACCAATGGTCACCGATTAGCCATTGTTTGCTATATAGAGGGCGCAAGTAACTATAAGTAGTGCAGTGGGGCTTTATCTTGAATTTGTAAAACCTTTTAAAACTTTTGATATTAATTGCAAAGTTAAAGGTACGTTTTTTGTAATGTGTTGATGTAAGAAAATATACAGAATGTCTTCTTTCGAGCCTTAAAATCTTTAATTAAAACAAGAGGTGAATACAACATCTTTGTTCTTGAAAAATGTTTAGAATTCATTTACGTATAATGTGTGATTCTTTAGCTGCACAATTTTAAAAAGAATCCTTGTATTGCCAATTTTGTTCAGAGAGGTTTCTGAGGGCCCTCAGCTTTATGCATTTTTCCATGTACCCTTTTGTATATCTGGATTACAACCATTCAATCTTTGTGTCTATTAGGCCCTGGTACGATGCTGTGAAAATGGAGAGAGTATCTTTGAGTGCCACCCTGATTCCAGCATAGTGAAGTCTTTGGAAAGTTTAGCACAACGGTTCCTGGAACTCCCTTACAGATAACATCCAACGAAGGGATTTTGTAAAGAAATAATGTGATGCTGCATTAAGAGAAGCAGATTCTTGATTGGGATCACTCTGTTATACACAATATATATATATATATATATATGATAAAAAGAGTGCATTTGTAATTTCTGTTGTATGACACATGCTCTGGCAACAATATCTAGCTTTACCCTTTAATGGATACACCAATACAGGATGCTATACTGCATATAGGCCTATTCCATAATCTTTTGTGGTATTCATGGAGGTTTTATCTTATGTGTTTTATCAATAAATCTGTATCTAAATTTGATGTCATGGAATGTTTATAAAATCAATGATCATATGGTATTACAAATAAATTGTTATTTTGAATTAAACCACAAGGATATAGTGTGATTTTTCTGTGTTACTCAGTATACCACACTATATCAAAGACAGTGAACCACACTGTAGTACACACTATGCCACACAATGTATCGCACTATAGTGTAGCAAACTGTGCCACGTAGTGTACCACACTTTAGCACACACTGTAGCACACAGTGTATCACACTTTAGCGAACACTATGCCACACAATGTACCACAGTATAGGGTAGCACACTGTGTCACACACTGTACCACACTATAGCACACAGTATGACACATGGTGTACCACACTTTAGCACACATTATATACCTCACTTATGAAATCCAGCCATCTGATTGGTCGAAATTGCAGTCATAAACTTTAACTGTAAAATTCCCGGTAAAATTCCAAACCCATGTAATAGTTCTAAAATAATAGTTCTAAAGTCCCGGCAAAATTCCAGTTACCATGGTTACCAGGGAAATAGTTCAGTCTTGGTGAAATACCCATAGGTTTACATGTTAAAAACTGGTTTGAGCGATCGAGGATACCGTACATGTGCGAAGAATTGGTCGGTAATTTCAATCGTAATAAATTCAAAACCGAAGGCAAAAATGGCTAAAGAAACTCTCACAGGATTTCAACTTCTTGATGATGATCAAATGCAAGACTTGCTGACAGTAAGAGCACCAAAAAGGGTACGTTAAATTCTCCATAATTTTTTTTCAAAATAGATCTAGTAGGCCTAGATTCTAGTAAGTAGGTCTAGTAGTGCCAAAATCCTTCCCGTAGAGATTGTACACATCCCTAGATCTATGCATTGGCCATTGCGCATCGCACTCATGCTAAATTGGTCGATGTTTTAATTGCCAGAGATTCAAACTAATATTGCTCGTGATCCTGAAGGTGATACTCAATAAGTGAGGTGCCATATGGAAGCGCAGGTTTTTCTCCATATTCCCCACAGGGCCGGTGTGACGGCAGATCTTGTTACCTTGGCGGATCGTGTTCTCGGAACAAAATCTGCCTAGCAGATATCGTGATCAGCAGCGGATATCGTACCCGCTATAACCAAATCTGCCGTTAGTGAACACGGCGGATAATGTGCATTGGCGGATTTTGTTCCTATATAGCTACAGGCAGTGGCGAACCTGGCATACCGCGTCAGGGGGGGGGGGGGGGGGGGTTTGGGGGGGGGGGGGTTTTGGGGGGGAGGGTTTTCCCCCCTCCCACGGTATTTTGATGTTTGCGATCGCGCGATTTCATGCATACCCGTACCTTACTTATGTTTTGTTGATTTGAAAAGTCTTCATAATTCGAAAAAGATTGTTTTATTGGGAGGGGGGGGGGGGGTAGGGTTAGGGGTGTGACACCCAAATTTGCTGCCAACTTTTAAGGGTGCGACGTCATCCAAATTTGCCGATTAACAAATGCATAGCATCTACCACCCTCCTTCCCTATCCTAAATGTTAATTATTCCATGGTTTAATTAGGCTCTTATCAAATTAAAAAACCTTTTGAAGTAATCATTACCCCCTATAATATTGAAACATGCAACTAATTTGTTTCTACATCGTGATCGACCTGAAAACAAATACAAAAAAGTAATTAGCCCCCTTTTTGTATCTGAATCCACATATCAGTGATAAAAAATAATCATGCGAGCGCGAGGCATTACGAACTGATTTTTCCCTCAACAGTGACAGGAACTGGGCTTATGAAGCCCTTCAAAATTTCTGTCGGCAAATGCGTCACTCTTTTCCTCTTTCCTTCCCTACTTCTTTCATTTTTCTCTCTCTCTCTCTCTCTCTCTCTCCTTTTTTCTTTCTCCTTTTCTTTCCTTTCTTTCCCTGTTTTCTTCTTTTCTTTCTTTTTCTTTCAGTTTCTTTCCTTTCGTTTCCCTTTTCTCTTTTCTTCTTTTCTTTCTTTTTCTTTTTCTTTCCTTTCGTTTCCCTTTTCTCTTTTCTTCTTTTCTTTCTTTTTCTTTTTCCTTCCTTTCTTTTCCCTTTTCTCTTTTCTTCTTTTCTTTCTCTTTCTTTTTCGTCGGGGGGGGGGGGGGGGGGCAATCCGGCCCCTTCCCCCCCCCCCCCATAGGTACGCTAGTGGCTACAGGACATGGTCTGATAATTATATCGTGAATAACATGGCGGATTGCTAGACTATTATTGTCTGATTTGTTCGTATTGGACATCGAATCTGTAGGCTATTCCGAAAAGCATCCCCCTTTATTGCATTGACGCCCACAGGCGACAAAGCCTGGTTGTCTCTCTTTCTTCTTGTCCATTCTTCTTGTCCATCGTTCTAATTTTATGTTAAAACCAGCATAATTGACATTTTGGCATTTTTGTTTTATTTATGCCCGAGTGGGTCTAATGGCCTCTAGAGGCCTATACATAAGACCTCCTCCCCAACTGCTGTTTTAACAGAAATAAATCATAATTTAATTACGTATTTATTTCATTTCATTAAACATTTTTCCTGTGATCCAGTCTCTGTGCTTTTTCATTTTCTTTCTTTTCATTTATAACTAAAATGAAGGCAGATATGGGAAGGGTCATGATTGGTCAGAGCAAATTGACGTGTTTGTTTGGAATCTTTCAAACTTTTGTATTACTGCATTTGTTAGCCAATAAAACCTTTTAGAATAAAACAACCTGACTCCCATAGTAGCGTTTTAAACATTGGTAAGCCCCCCCCCCCCCCCCCAAAAAAAAAAAAAAAAAAAAAAAAAAACAGATTCCTTTGATTTTATATGATAAATTGCAAGAAATAGAAATTATCAACGGCTTCAATCATTTCTTTGAAAATAGATTTATAAGCTAATAAAACAATATAGACCTAATAAACTTAAATTTGTTTTACCCCTATTTTCAAACTATTCTCGAATCCTTACAGAGTATAATTCAGGTTATTCTGCCACCTTTAGAAGTTGTCCGCATCCAATAGACGAAAAGGATTATATTGTATTTCTTTATCAATTTAAAATTTGCCATTACTGTGCATCCCTTACAGATTTATAACATTTTTTTTTATTCGGTTGTACTGATTACGAAACTTGAATTGTGGGGCCGGGGGGGGGGGGGGGGTGATCGAGGCTCTTTGCATCATCCCATATCCTCCCTTCATTTTTTTTTTTTGGGGGGGGGAGTGAACTTTAAGGTCACTCTACATGATAGAAAAAACAGATTTTAAATATCATAAACTATTTTCTTAATTGTAATGGGTTTCATCAGTATAGTTATTGTTCAATACTGTAAAGACAGTGTAGGACACGGGCGAGCTGATGTGGATAGCGAATTTTTGGAATCATTGGAATTTTTATTTCAAAATAATTATAGCGCAAATTCCCTCACAGTCATCGTCCTTTCATTAAAACTAACGGTGTAGCGTTTTGGGAAAATAAACCTTGAATTTTTGGTACACCTGCCCTCGCTTTCTATCAGCACAAACAGTGAAGATATAGCAATTCTGATACAGAAAGAGAAAAAGATTTGCGAGCGAGCGAGCAAGCCAAAATAATGAAGTTTTTTTTCACAGAAATGTTTTTTCTTCTTTTTCATCCAGCATAATTCTATTGTCAAGGAGGGGTGTACAAATTGGCGATTATGGAGGAGGATTATTGTTTACTTTCCTTCATAAGACACAAAGTGTAATATACATGTTGGTCGCCTTTCTATCACAATGGATTACCATCTTTATCAGAAAGGAACTTGGATTATGATAGTGATCGAGAACATACTTTGTGAGCAAGCGAGTGATCTGGAATTTTTTTTAAAACTTCGTCATAGAACGCTTGTTTTTATATCCAGAGATATTTTTTATTCATATATAAATTGACTTTTTGAAATAGTGATAAAAAATATCATCATTGTCTGGAATATACTGTTACAATGAAGATCCTGGTGATAAATACAATGAAAATAAATAGTGCTTGAATGAAATAAGTATAACTAGAGATGATATATTCCTTTCCCTTAACTAAGATATTACCTTTAAATAAACTGATTTGAAGTACGGTGTTAAGAGAAAACTCTTAATAAGAGCGGCCTCGATCTTGCTCGAACTCGTACTCGCACTCAGCATCCATGGTGGTATACAGTATAGTACTACGGTACACATGCAATTGCAATCGCACGCAGCCTAGCCAGCATGCATGCATGCAGCAAGCGGAGACCGTATACCACTCATAAAAACGATACCTTCAGAATGGAACGATAGCTGCAAAACGGAACACTATCTGCCAGCCACTCTGCGTGGTGGGTTACAATATCTGCCGGCAGATTTTGTGACGGGAACAATATCTGCCGGCGGATTTTGTTCCGCGAACACGATCCGCCAGTCACACTAAACGCCGTCACACCGGCCCACCCCCAAAATTGTAAAAATAGCTTGCTTAGACTAGAATCTAGATCTAGTCTACCCTCAAAGATACACTCATAAAAAACAACCGTGCAGATAAACTAGATAAAGGACACACTATATGCCACACGATGTATCACACTATAGAGTAGCAAACTGTGTCACACACTGTGCCACATGGTGTACCACACTTTAGCACACACTATGCCACACACTTTACCACACTATAGAGTAGCACACTGTGCAACACGGTGTACCGCACTATAGCACACACTATGCCACACGATGTACCACAGTATAGAGTAGCAAACTGTCACACACTGTACCACACTAAAGAGTAGCACACTGTGCCACACAATGTACCACAGTATAGTGTAGCACACTGTGTCACACACACTGTTCCACGCTGTTCCTCACTGTAGGACACACTATGCCACACAGTGTACCACATTAGGATACACAATGTACCATACTAAAGTGCCACACAGTGTACCAAACTATATTAAAGTACACTGTATCACACACTGCATCACACTTTAGCACACACTTTGCCACACAGAATACCACACTATAGTATAGCACACTGTGTCATACGGTGTACCACACTATAGCACAATCTGTGCCCACAGTGTACCACATTAGGCCACACAATGTATCATACTATAGTGTCACACATTGTTCCAAACTATAACACACACTGTAGTACAAACTATGCCACACAGTGTACCACACTTTAGTATTTTTTTCTCTCTTTACCTCTTCAGAGGGACTTTATTGTTCCATTTCAAAAGACATATATACTATTTCCAAAACAAGTAAAATGAAACATGAATTATATACAAGATCAAAATAATTTCTTAAAATGATCATTTTAACATTTCTAATACTTTCTTTAACTTCTTCATTATTGAAGTATCTTATATTTTCTTTGTATTTCAAATAACATTTTAATGATGAAATAAAATTATTTATGAACCTCTTTCGATTGGTTGGTACTTCCCCAAAGTTCCGCTTTACGTAGTCTTTGTATATTACTAGTTGAGCATAATTTATCAAAAAAATTAAGTAAATTAAATTTTCTGTTATCTATTTTATATCCAATCAATAACATTTTCATATCAATTTCAATTTCTATTTTAAAGATGAAATATATAATTCTAGAGATAATTTTCCAGAAAACGAAATATAAAATGTTCAATAGTTTTTTTTCACGACAAATTTCACATACGTTAAACTGTACAATTTTCCATTTAAAGAGATCGCCCCCCAACAGGAAAAATTCCTGTTGGGGGCCCGGGGGAAAATGAAATGAATTTTTGACAATTTATTGCATTTTCTTCGTTTTGGGGGATTTGTGGAAGGGGCCTCGTACCCTAGCAAACACTGCGTACAGTCATGATTCAGGGGCTAAGCAATGGCCTCGTTACTGTGAGTCCCCAGGATAAAAATGCCCTTTTGTGAGGCATTAATCCTCATTACTGTCAATTATGATTTAAGGACGTAGGTCCCTTAGCTGATTAGCATAGTAGCACACATGATTTAGCAGCCACGCAAAAGAAACACTCGCAAATCAATATTCAATAAAATCTGAGAATGTATGCCATTATCTAGATCTATTAGAAATAAATAAGTTTTTAAAATCCTTCCCTAATCTGGGGTAGAAATAAATATTCCACCATTATGACCAACAGTGTATATCCACTGTAACAATGACTAATGGTCGTACCTCAACGAAGCAATTTTTCCTTTCCTTTAAAGGTAAAGACCAGTTATGGTCATGCGATTGCATTGTGAAAGAAACGTTGTGGAATCGATCAGAAAAGGTTGATCATCTAGCATCTAGCATCTGCAAGCCGTTCTGGAATCATCAAAATGATAAGAAATTTGGCCCATTCTTCGTAAAGTTACAAGCACTATACACAGAAAGATGTATATGGGACTACCCTATATCTCTCACAGACTATATGAGAGAAACAAATTTACCAAATATATGAATTAGTAGGCGGTTTCCCGGCAAATTTTGTATCATCATGTATTAGTCAAAACATATTCTTTCACATGATTGGTAATGAGAGCTTCCATTTCATTTTTTGAAATTGGGGCGTTTCCAATACTGGTCTTTACCTTTAATTTAATTTTGTTATTATTACTCAAATTGTTGTTTTAGTGTATATCATTTTGACCATTATTAATATTTGATTTTGATTATTATCATCATTTTAGTTATTCTTAAAATATGTATTTTTGTTTGGTTGGTCAATAATGATTGATCAATTGATAATTGTTTCATTTGGTTGATTGATAGATTGATTTAATAAGTTTGATTGATAAATTGATTAGTTGTGGGATTGATTGATTGGTTGATTGATAGTTGGTCGCTTGAAAGATTTGTTGAATGTATGAATTGACTCACTAATGATCACTGCATTGATCAACTAGTTACTTTTTATAGGTCAAAGGGGCAGTCCCCCCCCCCCCCCCCCCAATGCCCATCCCCAGACAGTTTTCTACCAAGAACCGACTTTTCAACTACAAGATAAAAATATTGAAGGATAAAAATTGTCATATTGCTGTGAACACCTCATTCATTATGGAGAATCGGTCGAATCTCAACCGCATGCAAGCATGCGACCCTGTGAAAGTATATAGACTATAGTTTATTCCTGGCTCATATTGCCAGATTGAGGTGTCATATGAAAGGGCAGAAAATGAACTTTCGGGAAGTGCATGTGATTTTCTCTTTGAAATTCAGATACCGTTCGTAAAATACCTTTTTGGTACCCTTTCTTCAAATTGTTTTAATCACTCATGCGTGAAATATGAGAGAGGAGGATCTAAGCTTTACTAATGTAATTTTATCGATAATTCACGGTTTCGTTTTTTTTCTGGGACGCATGTATCACAGCCAAATATATTGCGCAATAGACCCGCAAGCGCCACACGCACGCACGACCTTATACACACGTGTAGAAGCTATCTCCGTCCTTCTTGTTGCTCACGGTTTGAATGTAAGTAAAAACTTTGTACCGGATATTATGTAATATGTATGTTTTTATTTTGTTTTGTCTAAAGCGAGATAAATCCATACTGTATAGTGCGCAGTATTCTTCGCTCCATTTTCAACAATTTAGACCTAAAAGTTATAGACTAAAATACAGCTAGCCATTTCATAAGCGAGTGGTCACCGCACTAGTTAACGGAAACTGAAGCTGTTGCGCGCCGGACCGCTGGCTACGACTCTGGTTGCCGCACCGCTTGTTCTAGACAGCAATAACCATCTGATTTGGGTCATTTCTTTAATAAAACTGACATTTGTATCGGAGGTCTAGTGGAGCCAGACGTAGTCTCAGTGGAACAACCGACGATTAGAGAGACTGAAGCTTTCGGTCTACGCTTGTTCTAGACCGAATTTTCCGTCTCTTTCGTTCGTTAGCCTCTTATTGGGTCTCTCTTTAGAGACGGAAGCCGTTTATACACATGTCCTTGCTAACGCCACGGCCAGTTCTGGTCGTAGCGTTTTGCCCCCAAAATCCCCCAAAATGTCATTTTACCTCGAGCATGTTATATTGTAAATTAGGCCTAGGCTATAATAAATCAGTTCCACTTACCAACTTGACTGAAATAATCAGTTTAATAGTCCCTTTTTAGGAAATTATGGGTCAAAATCGGAATCCATGTTGAAAAAGATTTTCAAAATGGATTTCGATTTTGACCCATAATTTCCTAAAAAGGGACTATTAAACTGATTATTTCAGTCAAGTTGGTAAGTGGAACTGATTTATTATAGCCTAGGCCTAATTTACAATATAACATGCTCGAGGTAAAATGACATTTTGGGGGATTTTGGGGGCAAAATGCTACGACCAGGACTGGCCGTGGCGTTAGCAAGGACATGTGTATAAACGGCTTCCGTCTCTAAAGAGATAGCCGACCCTACCCCAATAAGAGGCTAATGAACGAAAGAGACGGAAAATTCGGTCTACGCTTGTTCCTGCTCATGCTTGTTCATTTATTGTAGGAAGTGGTTCAAGATGCAGTCATGATATAGCCTAGGTGCCTTAAACATTCGTACTTCTTCGAGGAACGTTTTTTTTTTAAACCATAGATTTTGTCTCTTTTTCTGAAAACTTGTGCTAGTTCTAGTCTAGATCTAGATCTATACCTAGTTAGGCTATAGTCTAGATCTAGATTCTAGATCTAATATTTCAAAACAAGTAAAACTGAAACTTATAGTTAGAGTCTATTATAAAGAAGAATTATAAGTAACCACAATAATAAGTTATAGTTGCTAATATACTATTAAGTTAAACTATTGTGGTGCAGTTACCTCTAAGTCTGGCTCTGTAACTGAGAGATTGAACTTGTGACACGTCAGCCTTGCACACAAATGGTTCTACAGACTACAGATTTGAGCGATCATGATCAAGGAGCATTTAATGAATTTTTATTGTTTCTTGTGACATACTTGAAATACCAGACTACAGAGTTGCATGCAAGATGTCTGCTAAACCACTGTCACCAAGGGAATCGGGAAGATTCATTGCAGAACACTGTCAAGATGTAACAATTAATCAGGATGCAGCTAAGAAAGTTGCTCAAATGGTAAGAACCATTCACCATTCTCTATAATTTGACAAGAATTTCTAAAGAAGTCTTATATGTTCCAGATGTTTCTGAGATGCCCTACCCCTCCCCCCACCCCCTTCTCCCCCACCCCTCCCAATTTCTAAATAACAAAAGTTCAATAGCATTGCATAAAAAATATAGAAAGACTGGTTTTTATTTTTCTCAACAAAATTGGAATACCTACGTGCAATTATTGAAGTTCAGTGAATACAAATCTGAAAAGGGCAATTTTTCTTCCTTACAAAAATATATTTACTTGAGTATTTTTGTGATCTATGTTAGAGATATTTATATTATTTATGTTAGATATGGGAGAGCTTAGACAAGCAGCAATACAGCATCAAATCGTGGAAAGAAAATGCTCTTCATCCCAAGACAATGACAGATGCTACAGTCGACTGGTAGGTTGCTAGTTTCTTTTTTTTATTATTATTCAATGATGCTTTCCCCATTACTGATTAAAATTGAAGTGCTTCTCAGGTATTCTAGAAATCTGGGAAAACCTGGCAAAATTAAGTCCCTTTTTTTCTCCAGTCAGGGAAAGTTTTGGGGAATTTAAGAGAAAACACTCAACTAAAGATAGACTCAAGTAATTGCTTGACCCAAAAGAAGTACCAGTAGATGTTTTGTTTTTCGTACAAATGGCATGTCCATTGGAAGATTAGTATTTGTAGACTTTTTAAACAAGAACAAAATAAAAGGTTGCCGGAACCTGGAAATATGATCCTGAAATTTCGACACTCCAACAAGGAATTTATTTTATTTTATTGAATGGTTAAGAATACTGAAAGTAGCAGCCCAAGAGCTTTTGAATTACAAAAAAAGCACATGAAATACATAGCAATAGTAAAACATTTATTACATAATGCTTACGATCATACACACAAAGATAAAATTAATGTTATGAAATATTCTTCAAAAAACTAAGTATAATCAACACTATTTAAACAAATAACACATTTGTATGTTTTATAGATTTCGAAAATGGTTGTAAGAGAATTCTTTTTAAAGAAAATAAAGAATTAATAATTTGTGTTTGTGTTCAAACTGCAATTTTGAAGGTTGATTAATTTAGTATTGTCAAGACGAACACATTTTTTCAGTACTTAAATTACCATATTGTACTTTTATTTTTTAAAATTATTTTTCAGGATATTTGTCTTGGACACACTGAATTTCTCTTTCTGGAGTGAGACAAACGACAAACGTTATTTGGTGCGATATAACAATGAGAATCACAGCGGGTACTGGGCATTGTGTGCTGCACTGATGAGAGCATGTGATGTAAGATAGAGTACCAGCATCATAATGTACTTCTTTTTTCCATATGGAATCCATAAGGGTATAAGAATATTCAATCTGAATGGAAATGAATGGAAATGTAGTCAACAACTCAGTAATAATGTACCAGTACATTTTCCTCAGAAATAAAAAAAAATTAAACAAAATATGCTGTAAGCAATAATCTTTTGTGTGGAATCGTTCATTAGACCATGAAGTCCCTTAGATGTTATATTTGCTATTGTATCAAATTAATAATTGTTTTCCACAGAGCAAATTACATTTTACTAGCATCAATTTCCTTTTCAATGACAGACGCTTTTAATCATTAATTATTTTTAATTGGGACCTCAAAATATTTGGACAAAAGAGTATGCCTTTCTTCATGATAATCAAAATGAACAATGAAAAAGGAATCAATTACCAAAATGCTCTGAAAATCACATTTGTGATAGGATAAATGTTTGTATACCTGTTCACACTTCAAGGTTTGTTTAGCGATGGTCCAGTAAAAAAAAAAAATTCTCCCTTTTTCCATTTTTCCCCCATTTTTTAAAACGAATTAGGAAGGCATTCCAATTACAAGTCCATCCTACTACTCCAAGGTGACTCTGGATGAGCTGAGACATGTCTTCCGCTCAGAGACAGATACAGGTATCCATCTCCTGGACAAGAGGATAGAGAACCTACATCAAACAGGCAAAGTTCTAATGGAGGTGAGTGATGCCTAGTGACGAGTGGAAGGGGGAGGGAAGGGGGTGTCGTCCGCTCAGAGACAGATACCGGTATCGATCTACTGGACAAGAGGATAGAGAACCTACATCAAACAGGCAAAGTGCTAATGGAGGTGAGTGATGCGTAGTCTTGAGTGGGAGGGGGGAGGGGCAGAATCTACATTGAGGGGAAGGGGTGCAGAGACAGATAGCAGTATCCACCTACTGGACAAGAGGATAGAGAACCTACATCAAACGGGCAAAGTGCTGATGGAGGTGAGTGATGCATAGTCTTGAGTGGGAGGGGGGGGGGGGGGGGGGGGGTGTCTACATTGAGGGAGAGAGGGGGTGTTGTCTGTAGTGAGGGGGTGAGGGGAGGGATGAGTCTGGGTGAGCTGAGACATGTCTTCCGCTCAGAGACGGATACCGGTATACATCTACTGGACAAGAGGATAGAGAACCTACATCAAACAGGCAAAGTGCTGATGGAGGTGAGTGGTGTGTGGTCTTGAGGGGGAGGGGGGTGGGGGGTATTTTTAGTGCTCACTATCACCCCTGGTATTCAGTTTAAGGATTCTAGGTGGGGGGGGGGGGTACATGTATAGTCTTTGAGTGAGGAAATTTCTTTGGTTTACCCACATATTGCTCAAATTATTCATGTTCCAGCACAGTTGTTGGTTTGCCCACAATTTTTTTCTTGAATGACAACAAAAGTACAGTGTGCAACAAAACGCATACTGATTATTCTTTTGGGCATTTTAATACAGCATATGATTCTTGTCATTCTTACAGAAATTTGATGGATCCTTTGTGAATTGCATCAAGTGTTGTGAGAACAGTGCAGTCAAGCTGATTGAACTTGTCACCTCACACTTCTCTTCTTTTAGGGATGTGGCCACTTTCAACGGCACAGCGGGTAAGAATCAAGCTTGTTATGACTTAATGAATTCATATCACATATCCATATAATACAATAAAAATTAATTGTAGAATCGTGTTGAAAAGAGCCATACGTAAGCTTTTCGTCTTCCACTCATCAGAGTAAAACACAAGAAGGAAACAGAAAGTCGAAACCAAACAATATAAACTAACAATAAAATATACACTATCATGCAAAAAGATGAATGTTAAAGCATGTTTGACCAGAAATTTGTTTCTCTTGCATTTTTGAGCACCTTTGATTAATAAAAAATGTTCAAGAAATGCCCAAATAACGTACAAATCAAAGACAAAATTCGATTGAATTTGTGGAATCTTTATCTTCATGCCACAACACTGTACATGGAAATTAAATGGTACCTTTAGATTGAAATATGAAAATGGAATTGTCTCAAACAGGTTTTTGTATGTTACTTCTGAGTGAAATTGTTACAGATTTCAAGAAATGGTGGATGGTGGGCAGATGTTACCATATGCTGGTTGTTTGATGATATGTGGATAAAACAAAATAATAGAGTTTGAAAGACACATGCTTCAGTGACACTTTCACTTCTTTTGTATGAGGTGTTGCAGATAACAGTTGAAAGGGCAAGGCAATGGCATCATCAGGATATGATAGGGCTACATGAAAATTGAATGTAAGATTTCCATGCCTTCTCTTCATTGCCTCTCTTGTGGTTATAGGATTTAAAGTAGTACAAGCTTATCTTTGATATTTAATAGAGGTTAATGGTGAAAATCATTAAAATGACATTGACAGTAATAAATGCAGCAAGAAGTATTAAGTGAAGGGCTACATTTCACGCCAGATCTGGCCCCACCAATATAAAAATAGGCCTACTCACCAGAGCACTCCGGATCGAATTCCTTGGCCTTCTCCTCTATCAACCTAGTCTTCATTACTGTGTTGTTGTATGACTTGATCCTGCGATTGTACAGACACTCTTGGTCCCGGTACCATTCCGCAAGTTCTATTTCCTGATAAAAATAGGCCTACTCACCAGAGCACTCCGGATCGAGCTCCTCGGCCTTCTCCTCTATCAACCTAGTCTTCATTACTGTGTTCTTGTATGACTTGATCCTTCGATTGTACAGTCACTCTTGGTCCTGGTACTATTCCGCAAGTTCTATTTCCTGATGTTCGGTAATGTGTAGGGGACTAATTGTCTCTCCTGCCTATTCAAGGTGTTCTTCCTGCCGGCTTTTCTCTTCCTCCGGGGGGGGGTGCTGGAAGGGATTAAAGATTGAGAGTCGAGGCAGAGGAATTCGTTGTTGTTCTCCTCTTGGACGAGCCGTTCGATTAAGCTCTGTTGTTCTGCTAATTGGACCTCGACATGGTCTTCTTTCTCTTCTGTGACCTGGTCATCATCGATCTTCCCTTCTATTCCCAGTGCCTCTTCCTGCACTTCTACTTCTCCTTCGTTTTCTGTTTTTTCTTTGTGCAATGTTGATTTGATTTGATTTGATCTGATAAGGTTTTATTCGAATATTCAACAATACAGCTGCAGGCTGATGCAAGTGAATTTACAAGGTAAAAATAATTCCATAGACATATAAATACAATTATATGCTTTAACACTTGTAAATGAATCCAGATATAAACAATACATAATACATAAATCATAAATAATGAAAACAATAATAATATTGACCCCTCTTGGTCTTCCTGAGACGAGGCATGTTTCGGAACCTTGTTTGTATGAGTTGTGGAAATACAATGACGATGACCTATATGTTCACGTTCCTTTTATCTGGGAAATGGACAATCAATGCCTTCTTTCAGGCCAACTGACATATCATTGTGCGCTCGTCATGCTTGCCCTGCACTCTGGTCATGCTCATACAAAACTCGCCGTAAATCCCCGTACTCGATCTAAACTCGCATTAATTCTTGGGCAACTCGGCATGACTCGCCGCATGATCATCGTGCTCGTGCTCGTACTCCACTCTGGGAAACTTGAATAGCACTCGCGTATACTTGAAGGTGGCGAGTTGCTACGAGTTATGAAGAGTGCAGTTCACCTCGAGTTTCGAGTCAGTGAATTTTGAACATGTTCAAAATTTTGGAACTGCTCGCGACTTGAGTTATAAAAAGAGGTTTTCGCGAGTTATTGCCAGTGCCTCTTTGAGGCAACCCACCACAACTCGTCATAACTCGCCAATACAACTCAGCTAAGTGGGAGCCCTGCTTTAGAAATAAAACAAAGTACCGGTACCCGGCAATTGGGTTAGAAAGACTCATGCTTTAGTGACAGTTTCTGAACTTTAACTTCTTTTGTATGAGATGTTGCAGATAACAGTTGAAGGGGCAAGGCAAGGGCATCATCCGACACAAGATGGTGTACTTTACTTTAATGCTTCCTGGAAACGGTCTGGACAAAGTAATTGATAATGTGCATTATGATCTGGTCTGGATGACCGTAATGTCATGCTGTCTCCAAACCCTATCCCTATTGTTTACACTTGCCAAATTTGTAATCATGAAAACAATTCAATTCAATTAAGTTTATTCATTTCCATGAAAGTCACATTACAAGAACACATACATTTGCAAAAGGTACTGTAAATAACATGCAAAATATTTCAATAGAATATACATAAGTACATTAATATATTCAACAATAATGGGAAAAGGGAAGTTATAGAAACCAAAATAAATGAGTTTGTCGAGATATCTCCCCCGAAATAATTAAACAAAATTTGAAGATCGTATTAAAGATTTGAAATTACATAAACTTATTTTGCCCCAGAGAAAACTAGTATAGCAACAGAAACAACAAAAAAAAAACATACAAGCCCTAAAAATACACACATACACACACATGTATAAAAAGTGGAAAAGTATTCTACTCAATATTAGATGCTGCTTTACACTTCTTTTAATTCCATTGTAATTCATTATAGATGTTATGTTATTTGTACATAACCTTAAGAATGGCAACCCTCTACCCAACCCTGTATTTTCTTACCAAAAAAAACTAAAGCTCAGAACAAATATCAGATTACAATCGGTGCTGACATGTTTTATTTTAGAAAGCCCTCCTCAGCTTAACTTTTTTCCATTGATTTTACAGTGTCTCTTTATAAAAGGGCACAGATTCTTGTGGCGGACATCTGGGCGTGCTTTGAAGGACAGGGTCATGGATGCTTTACGGATATAGACACCTTGACAATGTTTGCCGATTACAGGTAAGGAGGATGATATTCATTACTTCTTTAGGTGCAGCAAAATTGCAAATGTGTACAGAAAATTGGCAGGTAAATTATATTGAACCTGACATAACTTGTACTGAATGTTTAAAGCTACAACTTAATAATATCTGTCAAATGATAGCTAAATAATTATATAGATTAGAAACAAAAAACAGGTGTTCAGCTGATCAATAGCACATGGACCTACAGTATGTGTATATGTTTAATTTTGCTGGTCCATTTACTGCATGATGAATTATTCAGAATGATGTAGCAAGGTTTAAAACATTTGAATGGATTCAACATTTGAACCGGTACGTGCATTTAGTTATTTCAAAGGCTTGATCAGTCTTTACGTAACTGATTTCATTATTTTGGAGCTGTGAGATGTCTGGTTTGCAGATATGTCAGTGTTTTAGTGCCCTTCAGGTTTTATACATATTTCTTGTCTATTCCCTGTTATAGGCCTTGAAAAAGTAGCAGGTTACATTTGTATTCATACAAACATATGCTTCTTTGTTAAGTATCCCATGTGAAATAATTGGCACAAGAGGAAAACCTTCAATTATTTGAAGTACGTCATCAGATTTTTGGAAAGTAGATAATTATGCATGTACTAATGGTCAAAATTGGTGTGAGGATTTGTTTTCTTTCTTTCTAATGAGAATGATCAAAATCTATTTCCTTTGCCTTCTTCTAGGGTGCCCCAAGGTTTGAACTACTTTGGTGTCCTGAGTTATTCTGATGCCTTAAAGAAGAGACTGGAAGATGAGACTAAGCTGTTCACTCCAGGAGAGAGGTTAGAGGTCGAGATCAGAGGGTGCTCAATCTGGGCTGTGGAGGTATGTCTACTGTCAAACCAATTAACCTTTTTAGTATGGAGAACATTGAATGAGTTGAATTCTCTAAAGTGTTTGGAGCCCCAAAAATGAATAAAACAGAAAACCCTAATTATGAAGTCCTTAAGCAATATTTTGTCTTCAAAAACATTTTTGGGGGGAAATCTTTGCAGAAGTGTATCTTGAATGACATCGTCTTTCACATTATGATACAATTTAATTGAAATTTGTCCATCAAATTTGGGGCTCCCAACACTTAGGAGGTGCTTTAACCCATTGTATAAAGGTGTTGTGGTCCAGTGTATAAGTCTCTCCGGACCACTAGGTAAGCGTTTTGAATCCCTGTCAGGACAAGACACAAAAATCTACATTTGCCACTCTCCACCCAGGTGATGTAAATGGGTACCTGGCAGGAATTAGTTACTTGTCATTTTATAGTCATAATTTTTTTTTTAATTAAAAAAACAAACAAAGCCAACCTGTTGCCTGATGTGTAATTGGCCAGATAAGATTGAAGGCATTGATTTCATTACTAGATTGGCCAGTCAGATGAAATACGCATAGACTATAACAAAACCTGCTAAAAGTATGTGAGTGTGTGTGTGGGTTAGGGGTAGGTCATTGACTCCCCAAGTTCTATTGCTAGTGATTTAAGAACATCCCATAGTGAAATAAGCATTCTCAGATACATGATGATATGCTATATGATCATCCACTTTTCACCATGTTTTGGACATTCCCAGTTTCCCACCCCCCCCCCCCCAAATGCATTATATATATCACTGCAAATTCTCATCATAACTTTCCTTGTCTCACGTTTAATTGGCAGCTGATCTTACAAGAGATGAGGAGGATACGTGGGGAAGACCTGAAGAAAGGCGACGTTATAGTGAACAGTATCATCATTGACTTCTACCTGTGGACCTACTGCAAGGATCACAGAGATGTCATGGCACACATACCAATACACAAGATTAGATCCATCTATTATTAAAGGGATAGGGTAACTTTGTCTCAGATTCTAAAACAAAATCCTGGATTTAGCTCATGCTGCAATGATTAATTATAAACCTTTAGGTCAGTCAGGAACCCCATGACTTTTACAAGTCGATAGCCTGTCTGATTATCAAGATATTTATGATTGGAAATCAAAATCAAATTTTGCATTTTCCTAACGGTTTTCATAACACTACAGCCTATTGGGAAAAACAAGTATGTTGAAACAGGTCACTCAAAGATTTTTACTTTTTAGAGGCACTTCTTGATCGTTTTAAAGCGCAACATTTTAGGGCTTCGATATTACACCATATCACTGACACTGATAACACGTAGGGCCGTGCATCTTAGATTCAACATTGTTCAACGAAGCCTTTAAAGATAATCGTAGTTCCGCGTTCCGGTGATGTAAAATATTTATTAAAACAATGAAATCCAGCATATCTTTTGTGTGATATGTCGAGAGATAATGATATTCGCCTCATTTATTTTGATGGAAAATGCGTAATTGTGTAGTAATTATTAACCAAAAATCCATGGAATTTGGTCAGTTTTTTAAGCTTTGATGAAAGCTTCATCATTCTGACTGGATTTTCATAATGCATGGTCCCATACCTGCATGTCTGTGTTGGTGCTTTGAAGAGCATGCAGTTTTCAGCATTCTGCATCATGAGGTTAGTATTTTGCTGGCCCAGGCAATGATATGTGAGGATTCTTTATTTCACAATCACAGACTTTTTTTTCTTTCCAAAATGCATTTTCATTACCAGAAGACAAGATTGCCTTTTTTTATCATAATGTAACGATAAAAGATGGTTTCATACAACTGGAATATTTCATGTTATATCTTATGGAGGGCTGACATTCCTTTTTTAGATGGAAGTTTAGTGTTAGAGTGTATTCAAATATGTTGAATATTTTGCACCTTGAATTATTTAATAAACAGGGATTGTTTTAAGTTAATGTAACCTGTTCATTGCTGTTGGTGCTGTAGAAAGAGAATAGCTTTCCTTCTTTTTGAACTCAAACTAAGATATATATATACAACTTGAAGTTATGTAAAAATGCACAGTTTAAATATGATTCTGAACTTGTCTTGTATTGTTTGTTGCATTTCAGTAACCATGTGTAATTAGTAGGTTTGTTTAAGCTTTAAAAACCTGAGCAATCACAGACAAAATTAAGCCGATGTGTTACATGTACAAAAAGTTTGAAATGTTTTTAAATGACCAATATATTGGCCAATCGGTGAGAGTTCCTAACCCTTTTACAATCATTCCACATTTTGTGATTTGGCTCAACAAATCTTGATTGGGAGCCCTAAAAAGTATGCCTGATTCATTAGTAGAAAAGGCAAAAGATTTCTACACATGCTGCACCCATTTTTGTTGCATGACTATACATGTATTATGTTTGATGCCAGGAATTTAAAAAAAAAAAAGGGATATGTTTCAAAATCCTAAAATTGGCAACATGTTGAGAGATCCAAAATCAGTGTTTTTCTATCAAAATCTGTAATTTTTTAAAACTTTACAATACATTCTTGCCCATGTACGTGTATATCGTTTTCAGAGACATTACACTTTATTTTAACGATGTAGCAAGAAAAGAAAATTATTATTGTTGCCAATTTGAAGAACAATGTGTGATCAATTTAAGTTATTTAACCGTAAAATCAATCCTGTCCTGAAAGGGATAATTCAGTGTCTTTCATGTATGTCTGGAATCAGTCTATAAGCATATTCAGGTATTATTTAATAAACCACCATATGGTGGGTAATAAGTTGCTCACTATGTAGCTCTTGTGCCCTCATGATGTTGGTTGCATGTTCATTCAAGTAATATACACCCAATCATATTCACATTTTAATGCATATATAAATATTCCTCTTAAAAATTATACCAGCTTATAATCCATAATCGTGTTTCAACCTTTTTTTCTCGCCTTGAGCACACTAGTCATATGGAGTTTACTCATTATATATACTCCATCATTTAATTAATTAGTATTATGAACTGTTGCTTCTCAAATTTGTACTGTACAAAAATTATGAGAATTATATTAGTCCAAAAGTATTCTTACGATGTTCTTGCATAGTGACTATCCCATTATGATGTAGTGTCCTTATGTGTTTCCAAAGAGCTTTTAGGAATGTTTTCCCTGTCTTTTGCTTAAGCATTATATTTAGTTTGTTAAATTGACTTTTTGTCATGATTTTGTTGGATCCTATTTATGGCAGTTAAATTGCTTGGGCTGTTTGCCTGAATTCTCAATTGTACAATTTTTATGCTGCATATATGTTAAAATAATATTGTTTGAGATATGTTGTACTGATTATGCCATTCTTTAGTTAATGGAGTAAGCTTCTTCTATGGTGTTTCCAAATGGTGGCCTTTAGTAAGATACAAGGGTATATTGCTCATGACCATATTGCACGAGTCGTTATGATATTGATAAGTGATTTTTTTTTTTTATGTGGAATATTTAAAAGATATTGCACTACCATCTGGTGAATTTCAATCCTTGAGATAATGTTTAAAATTTGCAGTCATGCAGGTATATATTCATACAAAGCATAGGATTTATGGAGGTTTCGGATTGGCTCCTAACCCGTGTGTGTGTTTATGTAACATAGTTTGTGTAATGTCATGTAGGATTTTTGGTTGTTTCTCTTGAATGCATACCAATCAATTGTTTTCTATTACAGAGGTTGGTCATTGTGCCAGGGGTACAGGCTTGTTGTTGTTGGGTTTGTTGGTGCTATCCATCAATTTCGATGATTTCCGCCAGACTTGGTGTGAGAGGGCGTCTTGCTCTCTCTTCTGCAGCTCTACTTACGTTTCTGTGATCCTGATACTTGCCCAGTGTGTGAGATAAAAACTTATTGACATTTGTTGTCGGCGTAGTGCAAGATTATGGAGGGTTAATCTCTGCCTGTTACTCATTATTTGTTAGTTATTTAATATTATAACTGGTTGGCAATGATATATTGATGTATTCATTATTTATACCAGGGTATCATTGAGATGTGTATTCTTCTGGGTAGAGGATTATTTATAACAATATTCTTATGCGCACAAGCTCCCACTATTTGTGGACTACTGGTATGAACTATTATAATTTTCATTATTTATATCTGACTTTTCATTCTTCCTGATATATAGGTAGTGCATTTTTGTTGTTACATAGTTGTGAGCAGGTAAAAAAAAAGTAGGTGGAAAAGGGATATAGAAAAGGAAGGAATTAAATGTGATACCTTATTTCATGGGACAGATTTCTAATTTCCTCAAAAATTACTTTTTACTCATCGACTATGTCATGCTGGCTTTCGTATCATAGAACTCATCTATCTCAAAATAAGCATTTTTCTTTCCTTGCGATTCATCTTGAGCTTATTAGCATTCGAAGTCCTATTTCGACATATGTTTCTTATGTGATACATGTATAGTATGTACATGTACTATATCTTGTTTTATCCTTTATTTTGTTCATAATGTGATGTAGTTGGTTCTGATTATTTTAAACTTTTTCTTTTAATAAATGCAAACTTACCAAATGACTCTTGATCAACAATGTGTAACTAATTTCTGTCTGTGTATATCGTAGCAATGATAGATCCTGTTTTTCTCTTGTGTAGCATAAATTATAATCATATTGTAAAAACTTCTGAGGATTCCTTTTTACTATGAGGTGTTTTTTTTATGAATACAATGTTATTATGTGACATCCTAGCTTCTACTTTCTAGCATTACTCTATAATATTTTACTAGTTTGTTTGATATCATCAAACTGATATTTTGACACTGAAGGTATAAAGTTTTTTCTTCTTTCTTTTTCTGCTTTCTTTGTTCTTCTTCTGGGGACGAATGCTCCAGATCTAACTGGTACCTAGCTCCAAAAAGACTTTGTTACAGTTACAAACAAACTTTAAAACAAACAGACTGAGACGATGTTCTGTTGTAAACAACATTTTGTTAAAATGGACTATGTTAGCTGCATATTTTAATCAAATGCTGAACAAGGTTAATTGCCTGGTCTTTTAAAGTAAAATACATAAAACTGTCATGTGATACTCTAGTCACAACAGCAAGAGCGACTTGAGAGTTCAGACTGAAACAATTTAGCACTAATTTAACATAGGTTGGAATGGGGTTGGTTTCAGCCTGGACAATCAACCGTGCAAACTCAGAGATCAAGGTCCATTCCCATTTGAAGGCTGTGTTTTATTCATTTACTTTGTTGATATTGCACGTGACCTCATAACGTATATTACAATATGTACCTAGAACGAAATTATTTTCCAACCCTCAGACTGGGAAGTCGTTCACTGTTCAATGAGACACTGTTACATTTATTCAACTTGAGTTAGTTTAAATTTTCCGATGAGTAATACAGTACGTGTTGCCCTGTGGTGTTGCCAGCGGTCGTTGTCGACACTCTTTGAGCGATGTATTGCAGCCGGGGGCGACATCGAGATCTTTCACGAAGTCTATCTCGCCGCGTATCGTTTCGGACCTCAACACCGACAAGAGAACGCCACGTTCGAAACAGACGACAACTACACCTACGAAAATGTTCACAAAATGCTCAGTCAAAAGTTCCCGCTAGGACGTGCTGCCTTCATCAAGGACATGGCGTTTGCGGTAGAAGGACGCTTCCCTGAGCTTTCTTCAGAGTTTTGCCACACTTTCTTGATTCGTTCTCCGCAAAAAGTCATAAGGTCCTACGTGAAACTCCTACAAGGCTGCAATTTTGATGAAAACTACGTGTCAGAATTGAGACAGAAATTACCCAACAGTTTCAAACAACAATGTTTGCTTTACGATTACTTCATAGAACACGGGTATCAGTCTAACATGATCGTGATAGATGCAGACGACTTTGCAGCCATGCCTGAAATCGTGCTTCGTCGATATTGCCAAGAAACGGGGCTGACGTTCGGGGGATGCATGCTGAGATGTGAAAGTCTAGATTCGATACCCGAAGACTGGCATTGCTCGGAAGTTCTAAAAAAAGCAACAAAGGCTAGCGGGAGCCACGAGAGAGCCCTTCGTAGTACGGGAATCGAACCTTCCACATCAACAGGAAAGGGACCGGATTTGCCGATAGTCTGGCAGAAATGTGTCGATGAGTGTGAACAGTTCTACAGAATCATGTTTGAAAGGAGAACTATCTTTAAGGAGTAGTCATAATCTACCGTTCATCCAGATATCTTTGTAACGAAATAAATTAAGTTTGAATAAAGCCACTAAAATCACACATAGCTATAAGTCAAAAGTCGAAATATCTTGTACTTTCTAGTATTAATTTGTTCTCCGGTACTTCGCGTCCTTCAGTATTTACCTTACTCCATTCGTATTTATAGATAGCTCATATCCTGCAAAATAAATATAGTGTCCTTGTATTGAATATAATAGTTGATGTTGTATTATTAAACCTCAATGTCATTATTTTTATGTATTTTATACAAACCATGCAGATTTAATGAAATAATTCAAAGATGCTGCCAGTTTAATCACAATTGGCCAAGTCCTAGGTATTTTGTTCCATTGCTGCCAAAGATATCAAAGATTTCAGCATTGACGTTCTGACGATTTGAATTAAATTGAGATCTTTGCTCGAGCGTGGCGTTAACCAAAAGTGACTTAAACAAACACACATGATGCGTTATTTATTTACTCAGTCTTCTTTAAAATACAAGGTACAAATTGTAGTCCCTTCAGAGCCGCAAGGCCTGCTTTTCAAGGGAGCCCTGTTGGCAAGTGACAAAGTACATGGTAAAAATTACAACAACACAGAATAAAAACATATACACTATACATAACACATAGTTATTCGTTTCAGTTTGAAAAGACGACCTACATCACATATTTGTTTCACAACTCACTTAGACATGATCTAATTCTTCTTATGCTAGACAGTATACGCAACTACTTATTGAGGTATTCATGCATGATTCCTTAGAATAATCTTAGTGACGTATCAGCTAGGTAGCTAGAGCATTCTTATATCCCAAATATTTAATGCCCAAATCTCTCTACCATTCGTTAATTCTGATATACACTGTCACACTTCTCCTAGTCTCTTTATATCTATTTCTCGTTACACTATATCTCGCTGCTTCGTGTTTTGTTCTTCTTCGTGTGTTCTTGTTCTTTCCCAAATCCACCCAGCATCCTCACCCACACTCTTTGTTCTCATTGCGGTTTACTACCTTTATCTTCTCTCCACTCTTCAAAATGAAGATTTGTTACATAAATTAGACAGACTCGGCGGACCATAGTGTTCATGTGCGTAGTATTGTCTTAAAGACAATTTTTAATCGAAAATGAAAACAAAGTGAACATATTTTGTAAAACGTGTATTATTGCAAATTATTCCTGCGGTGTATATATTCTTCACCAAAAGTTAATACCAGAAAATATCTTTTACACATCAAAATATTTTTCTGCTAATTAGACACAAAGGCCAAACTGACCCATCTCATATAGGCCCTAACTTCGCTGCACATTGGGTTACAAATTACAACCCATTATTGACAAAGTTAATTCTTAAATCAACATTGTATAAATGGTGCTTCACTTTATACACTGTTACCAATCGCTCCGAACCACATTGAAAGACATCCAAAATGATATAAATATTTCAAAAGGGAAACTTGCTGTATTATACTCATGCTATACACCCCGCCAAAAAAAAATCAACCGAACGAACACATGCAAAAATGCCTTAACTCAACACCTTTCAATTCATTATCCAATAAAAATGAAAAATTTAGCTACAAACTTAGATACTGATAAAACCGAAGGATTTTGTTGTTGCTTATTTTGATGACTTTTTGTAAGAATATGCTTTTATGGACAAGACAAAAAACTGCATCATGTCATGGGAGTCGGTGAACAGAATTATCCAATGAATCACCTTTTCTCATCACAATTATGTCGATGAAATTGTCTCTACTTGTGTTCCCTTTGAGCTTCATGATATTTTGTTTAAGTTGCAGGTTTCCACGTTATTTCATGATTTGTACCATTATTTACATATTACTCTTAAACCTTCTCAACCATATTGCAAATCATGCTACCTTTAAATACTTAAAATATAGTATTCTAAAAGTGTTAAGAATACAATGTCCTTAGTAGTGGATAATACTGATAAAAACTATATGGTCTTCATATTGCACCAAATGAAATATTCATGTAATACAAATTACTGGGCGTGTTAATAAGTTTCCAGTTATAGAAAGAAAAAAAAATACATATCGGGGAACAGCCGTAGAACTACAGATGTCCTAATTTAGACATGGCTCCGACTGGAATTAAGTGTTTCACAATTTCTACTTTTAATGACTATGTTGCAGTTTAGAACCTCAGAATTTACATTAAATTCATTCACTTTTTGTTAATAATTTCGGATCGCTGTATAATTTAATCGCCCGGCTGCTTGCGGAATAAAAAAAAGGATAAAAAATAAACATAAAATATTGCACATCAATCAGGTGTGTATCTTCTCTTGTTATTAAGAGACTGCTCTCTTGATTTGATAGAAAGTTCACCCTGTTTTGCTTTTATTTGTGATACATTTTCAATGAAATGTGGAAAATATACTTGAAATCGAATCGATTTCATTTTGATGAAAGCAAACAATATGAGAAGGTTGAAAGTGTGAAACGTGTCGGTGATTTTTTTGTTTTCTTCATCCGATAAATAATATGATTTTGACTATTTGTAGATCTTTAACTGAGAAATCTATGATCCTTAGCGAGCTGTAGTTAATCAAACATGATCCAACAATATCCAATCCTTATTATGAGAAAAGATTACACCCATTCTTTAAGATTCAGACATTTGAATACTTGGAATATTTTTCTCGAGAATTTCACAAAGAAAAGTTGCCATCGGTGATTAGTTGATCTTCAAAATTTGAAAAAAAATACAATTTTATCAAACTTTCACCGGCTCGTTTCCATGACCTTTTGCTATACTTTCCACTTGATAATGTCAAAATGAGGGTGAACTACTCTGTGAAATATATACACTTCGTAACGTGAAAGATTTTTTTTTATAAATAATTTTAAAAAATAGAGATAGTAACTGATTCAGAATCGTGTAAAAATCTGTCAATTCTTTTTTGAACATACATATTGGAATATTTCAAGCAAAGCTAATGATTTAGTGAATACTGACTTTTAGTGTCTACATAGACTGTTTAACAAATGTCCATATTCAGGTGTATTTTCTTTGCGAGAACATTTCTTAGGGAAATCATCATAGCATCATGCTATCATAGCATCATGCTATTAAAGTTACTCTTTTAATGAAAAATATAGTCCTAACATGTCAGATCCAGAGTACATCTCAGTCAATCTGTGAAAATATCAATCAGTTACACATACACTGTACAAATATATTGCTAATATCGGAAAATATAATTTACACTTTCTTTTTTATGATATTTCAGTGAATCATATACTATTCTTAAGCATGTTATTAAGTGATATGGAATGGCATGAACATGTACGTACAGTTTGAAGAGGGACAAATTAGACATTATTTGACCTCTTTATACTCTACGTCACGGTGAAAGAATTACATCAATACCATATTTTATTTTCTAATAATTATTAAAGATAAGTTTTGAAATAATACCTTAATTCAATTTCCATAGTGTGAAGAGTGGCGACTTATGTACAATTTTATGTCTCATTTTAAGAGGGTCGAGTATTTTCCAGTTCGGCGTTGGTGTCCCATAGTTGGTGTTGAAGTCTGGTGGCACGCTAGCTGCCATTTTCTGTCTCATGACTTTGAAAGTATTTTTGATATTATCCTCTTTGTCCTTCAGCATTCGATCTCGATTGGAACCCTTTGTTGGTCGACGGACAGAGAGCATGACTTCAAGATCAGTGTAGTCTGGCTTATCCTCGACGACTTCCTTCTCCGTCACGACATCGGCAAGAATTTCAGATGGTGTAGGACTTGGTGCCGAAACTGGTAATCTTCGTGTTTGACTCCAAGACCCATCATCGGCTGTCCGGAAGGCAGGCGATATCGATGGTTGGTGGGTGGCTCGCGATCTCGTCGCACTCGCTACACGGTAATATTCATCGATCGTAGCGGCATCGTCGTGAATCGTAGACGATTGTCTACGGAGATGGAGTGCCCGATGAAATATACACTCAGTCACCTGGCAAGATTTTCCCGTACACGCCTCGACAGTGGACGCGCGCTGGAGTTCGTCATCGGAAAATTCCGCAGTCGTCGCTAAGTCCGATGGCTCTTCACCGGGTTTCGATTCGTGAGCCTGAGGTTGGGGTCGTCGCTTCAATTTGAGTTTTGACCGCTTGAAAGTTAGTGGAATGTCTTCTTCGTCGCTGTGACTTGTTACCTTGACGAGCGGAGTTTTTGATGTCACATCGGATGCTTCGCTCATCTCGGATTTATTGCTAGTTTGCCTCAAGAACTTCTTCAATTTTTCCTGTTTATCAACTTTCTTTGTCTTCCCTGGTTTCTGTGATTTAGAGCTGGGTGATGATGATTGGTCTACTACCCCTTGGGGAATTTTTGAGTCCAAAGGCTTGTATCCTTTCGGTATGGATCGTTGTTGGAGATGAGATTTAGTTGATTTTCGTGCACCCTGCGATGAAGATTTACCCGATGTCATAAAAATAGCCCGTCCGGGTGTTATCGTATCTGCCCTTGACTCGTCACCAACATCGTCACCAACAGAAGAAATCAAACTTTTAGTCGTGGCACTATCGATTCGACTTTCTGTCCCTGTTACTACCGTGTAGTTGGACAGAGAAATATCATCTAGGAGCAAACCAGCATCCCATGCAACACGATCCTGTGGTTTAGGTGTCTTAGACGGACTGGATATCAAAGGTGAAAATACCCTGCGGTTACCTTCGGAATCAAATCTGTAATAAGAATTGAGCACCTTGTCCGCCTTGTCCTTGTCAAGTTTGTCAACACTACTTTTCTTCTTACGAGCTCTAAACGCGTACTCGTCAAATTCCTTCGACATCTTATGCGTCGAATGCTTCTTATGCGAACGTTTGTGGCGTCCAGTGGCGGCGCCGGCGCTTCTCGTTACCAGGTTATCAGTGTCATCGTCATTCTGCTCTATTTCCTCACCAGAGCCCTCTCGTTGTCGAATTGCGTCTTCCTGCTCTGAATTCAAACGTTTTAAGAGCTTCTCTATTTCCGCAACTTCTTTGTCGATTTGAAAGAGTCTTTTACTTTTGCTAGTATCCAGAGATTTCAGAAACTTGAAAAGCTGTCTCTCGTCGAGTTTCTTGGCTCTTACAGTATGCTGGAGAGCTTGTTTCTGACTCGTCACTCGTATATCACCCAAGTTTTTCGAGTGTTTGGTAGAACCTCTTGGTCTGCTGCCTCCCTCGCTACGACTCACACGAGATACTGGTTTGTCCAAACCCATTGTCCCTTTTCTTTCTATATCATCACTCACCCAATACCAGGCACAGAGGGATGGGCAGTAAGCCTTAGATCACTTTATTGTCCTAAATCGCCTTCTTGAGAAAATCACCGGCGGAATAGTTTTTTCCTAATGGTAAATGCTGAAAATAATCCCTTGTTTACGCCTCAGTTCCACCCTTATTCAATAGAAAAGTTACTGAGGTGGAGAGAAAGGTACCCGAGTGACCCCTAGTGAAAATCTTCAGCAATCTTTTCTGTCCACATTATTTGAAAAGAGTCTGCATGTAACCCGTCGGGTAAAAATCCTCAAGAGGTATTTTCCAAGACGCTAATTAGCTTCCGTTGTGAACTATTTGTTTCATTTGGACATAAAATCGAGCTGGAACATTTTGCGTTTTGATGATATTTCTTTCACCCGTTGCATGGTTTTCCTCCAAAGATGCTCCGTTTCAAAATAATCTGATTCTAATCCGATTTAAAGTTGCGAAGAATAGAAGAAAGCGGATTTGTAAAGATTAGTCAGTTTCGTCATCGTATCGTTGAGAATGTTCTGTTCTTCTAAATGTTTGATGTTTCGGTTCGGCTCATTGAAGGGGTAGGGCGGAGGCAGCCGCGGCATCTGCAAAACACAAAACAAAACAAAAGAACAGTGTGATCAATCATTGCTGCGCCCTAGAATAATCTTATGGTTATTTTTTGTAAGCCCCAAGCACACTTCTTTGATTCCAGTAGTCAAAATAACTATAATCGAATTCTTACACTCAACGAGCTGTTGAAAAGTACTTTTGTTTGTTTGTTATTATTATTTTTTTTTTTTTTTACTCTCACTTAATATTTGGAATATTAAACTATTGAAACGTGAAAAATAGTTTCCAATTCACAGCGTTATTTCCCTTTGTTTCTGCGGTGTAACTCTTGTTATATATTATATTTGTTTTTAAATTTTAAAGCAAAAAAATATTTTGATAGGATTTGTTTCTATATCCAAACGAAATACAGAGTCACAAATTTTAGTGATCCAATTATGTTAGCTGTCATGAAAACATGTAACAGATCCTTGTCACACAAAGAAAGTTAAGCTGGGAGTGAAAGAAGGAATATCACCACAAAAAACTTTTTACCGATCCTCAACCTGCAAGCGTGTACATTGACTATTATTGTTCATAACCCAACACACTAACTGCATACATCCTTGCAAGTTTTTTTTTTAGGCTTCCCAAGTCGTATAGGTAGGCGAATTCAGCTTACTTTGTAGATATTAGTGGCGTATCCATGGAAGTACGGAGAGCGCTTGCACCCCTCCGCACCCCCCCCCCCCCCCCAATCGAATGGCGATTTTGAAATGACGAAAAAGAAATTTAAAAGAAAGAGAGAAAAATGAAAATGAAAAGGCAACGTGAAATGAAGAGAGTTGATACGAACCCCTCCTAGTTTTCTCTCATTTCATTATTGTTCATCATTCTATCTTCCTCCCCCCCCCCCCCCCCCCCCTTCCCTTCCCTCTCTACCAATGGCGCTAGAGTCCAACATAATTATGTCTGGATTCACGCTAGCTCACTGCCTATTTAAATAATGTTCCTTCATTTTTATTTTAGCAATTCGTATTATCTCGTCACAAAGCGCCATGAATAATGAATAATTCATTCCATTCACTTCCTATACTCGTAACATTCTCTGTAAATGCTGCGCAGACGACTTAAATGTCTGAAAATTATTTCATTGACAAAGCAATAATTATTTCATTGACAAAGCAATAATCTACTAATGCATTTATGATTGATAATAATAATTACCTCCGTACACGGATTCAACGCTGCTATTTTGATGGAATCTGAATGAACAGCGACTAATTTACTGCAATACTTTATTACACCCGGTATCTTGATAATGAGAATTAAATCGATTGCTTTCAGATATTTATATTTGCTTCAATCTTGGTATATCAGGTCAATATATTTATCTTTCCCAATTACAAGTGATAATCATCGGTCGGTGCCGAAGTTCGATTCGGTGAAGAGATAGTGGTAATTGGTTTTATCAGGATTCTTGTCTGGGTAAACAAGAAGTTATAAAAAAAATAATGTATCTATGGTTCCTTGTACTGCAAAGTCCAATTTATGATTAGTTCATTGATCCCTGTTTAGACAATGTCGTTGAAGAAGACATAATCAGTCACGAGTCAATAATATTCTCCACAATATTCATGATGTATTTTGATCAAAGTCTAGAATATTTTTCGAGTAACTGATTCTGATAGGGTGATAGTGGTACATAGGGCGCTGCATGAATATACCCCCCCCCCCTGCGTCTGAAAAGGTTCCCCTAGAAATTACAAACAGAATATATGGTACACAACCACCCCCCCCCCCCCCCCTGCCAGGGTAGTATAATTCCATCCTGCTTTTTGAAATATAAATCTGGATACATTTTTCTGGTGATGTTTAATTTGATTTATTCTGTGATGATATAAAAACTAAATTGACATGATAAGCACGCAGCATAAAAGATACAAGTATAGGCCCACATATTCTGTACGACCATTTAAGAAAAAGTATATCTGTTTTTGGCTCATTATTATTTGACCACTTTTTACTAATCAAATTTAGGCATCAAAACGATGATTTTAGGAATTTGGCCCTACTAGTTGTATTGTAAATCATACATTTTATTATTTTGGAACTTCAAAACACCGATTCATTTCCCTTTATATCGCTCATAACATAATGACTATTGTTTCAAAGCCGTTGTGATCGACAAACTCAAATAACTGAAAACTGAAGTTCAATACTCACGAACACAGGTATAAGAATTTGTATTAATCCAAACATGGTGGGGTTTCATGTTGCTTTTCCCTTATGAGGGTTAGTTACAATCTTCAAAACACTCGGTATAGCACATGAACCTGGGGTCACAAGCCTCTTGTACATACTGTACATTGCTCCGAGCGACTACAAAACTCAAACAGCATGCACTGCCAACAATAGTGCTTGGTGCGAAAGACAAATACTCACAAGTCTTTAATCTTACCCGAGAGTTTTAAAGAATGTGATCTCAAGTTTGCCACTGTTCCAACCCCCAGCGATTCAGGTATGGAGAAGAAAAATGTAGATGCTCTCCTCCAGGTGATAAGTTTCTCAATCTTCTGATCGAGTATTGGGATTCAGGAAGAAAGCTTTCATAATTATAACGGTCCAAAGTAATTGTACTCGATAATGTTACCCGAGATCTTCTCCTCTGAACAGACCCGGTGTGCGTTGTCATGCCAACATCGATTTCCCACCCCTCTGAAGACCTTTACCTCGCAAAGGAACACAGACCGAAGCGCACAGGTCAATAATCAGACAAAGCGTGTGATGGGTGTCAGAATCTGTTTACCTATTCACAAGTTGGCTGCAACTTTCTCACTCATTCACTTTTTTATTTGCCTCTCTCCCCTCAAGACAAATAGTATTTTGTGGAAACATTGTGCGTTACAAAAGGAGATTAGGAGGAGCGAAGAAAGGAGTTTGATTAGTTTCGACCAAAGATTCATGTGAGGTATATGATAACACAGAGTCTGAAGGGCAGGCGCGGTTCTAGAAGAAGAAATATAATTTTTTTTTTTTTTTTTTTTTTTTTTGGGGGGGGGGGCGGGAGGTTGTGGGCTAGGGGCTTGGGGTTCTTCATTTTCTACATGTGCCTCACTGAAATTAATTATTGATTTAAGGCTGAAATTGGGGGGGGGGGGTTGAGCATCCAAGGTCCCTCTTGTGCTACGTTTTTATTCGGGCAAGCAACGTCAGCTCGTGGCAAAATAATCATGCTGGTATGCCAATAATGCCCATGCCTGTTTAGAAGACCCTTCATGGACTAAATTGTGTATCAGGCCAGAACGTACATGTAATTACAGTCAGACAAAGGTCACAGTCGGGTAATGAGTCAATTCTGATTTAAAATTAATTAATATCAGTAATATTCGCACACAAAATCATGCAAACTGTGGCACAATGAATGAAGCGAGGTAATTATTTTGTTTCCACATCTCAGGTTCATTAAAATGGGGGTCCGTGTTATACAAGACAGTGGCGGCATATATTGGGTCTATTCGCCATCCAGACAAAATCAATCCCTCTTATAAAAACTAACAAGGCGCTTTGGTAAACGAACGTTATTCTTCACTTTGACTGAGAAACTGTTATCTTATCATATAGGGTCTATGTTATAATATTTTGCATTTGTGCCAGAGTACATTATCACCAAAATTACAAAGTGTAAAAGTTTGCCCGACTTTCAAACTGAGTTTTCTCTTTACATCATAATCATTCTCATACAAAATGTAAGAAGCTCGTACATTATACATGTAGACCTATAGGCCTATCCCCCCCCCCCCCCCCCATTAAAAAAAAGTTGTGAAGCGAGCTAAGATTTATATATACCTCAAGAATTCAAAGGCCTACCTCATATTTGAAAACCGTTCTGCTCGTCCCCCTTATGTACATCTTGTTTGTTTGTTCGGTAAAAGTATTGTCAGACGAGAGTTCTTGATTTTATTTGTTTGGTTTGTTTCTGTATTATAGTTTTTAGCTTGTTATAATTATTGTGACAAAATCGAAATCACCGGCAACTTATGCGCGCAACAGTTGTATGACGTAATAATCTAAATAAGTTACGTATTATTGAGTATGAGAAATGGTATAGACTAGACGTACGAAACAAAATTTGATCACAAGCATAAACAATTTTGAATGTCTTTCGAACCCGGCTATCGAAACGAGCCCAATTTATGGGAATTATACATTAAGTTGTGTCAATCCATACTACGTTAAATTAAGTATAATGAATATTTGTTGATCATAAATAAATCTCTCTTCTTACCTGTCAACGTCTAAGATCCTCCCGCCCCCCCCCCCCCTCTCTCCTCTCTCTCTCTCTCTCTCTCTCTCTCTCTCTCTCTCTCTCTCTTCTCTCTCTCTCTCTCTCTCTCTCTCTCTCTCTCTCACTCCCTTTCTCTCTTACTCTCATATTCAGAGTCTCTCACTCTTTAGTGTATAATAAAAAATCACCAAAAAATTCTCACATTTTTTATTTTTTATCTTAATTTTTATTGTTGTCCATTCTATTGAAGTTAGGAGTGATGAAACCAAATTGTCAAACGTTTGACTTCTTTACACATAGTTCTTACTAAATTCGAAACTACTATCTTTTAAAGGGCATAGTTTTGTTTATCATGACGAAGTGGTGAATAATACAATTACACTTGCATGGTTATAGTATTAGGCAAATGTGTTATACTTTTGGTATGGAGATTTTGTCATATTTACCTAGGATAGCCACACAAATTCACAAATGGAGAGAAAAAGGAAACACTGATAATTTTTATCAGTAAAAAAAAAAAAAAAAAAAAACTTGTATGGATTCTGCTCTTCCTGCAGGCCCTGCAAGTATCATAACATCAGCATTGCCAGGTAACCATTTATACACCTGGGTCAAGAGGAACAAACATTGGATGTAAGTACTGAGAAAGGATTGAACCCAGGAAATGTTGTATGAGAGTATTGCTTTTACCAATGCATGTATAAGGCCTCCTCCCACTTTTGTTACAATGTCAGAAAAGACAAAATACAAGAAACATTAAATATTTTTTGTGAAATAAACGAATTTCGATTTTCAATTTAAACCACTAAATTTTAGAAATTTCATTGATATCTCTAACTTTTAAGGGGATGGGTAACTTTCAGTTGTTTCCATGGCAATATTACTGTCAATGCATGAGTAGGCAAGCAATATTGACGATGAAAATTGTGTTTTTGTCGCCCTCAACTTGGAAACTGCGTGTAACGAGCTGAAATTTCCAAAAGAGCGAAACTTCGAAAGCAGTGTTGTTTAGTATTTTTGTAAGTAAATCATATTAATTGAAATTGAATTCATTGTCATTATAATTTATATGAGATGATGTTGCTCATTATGTTTTCAATTATTTATTTTTGAGTGTGTGAGAATATGGGAAAGCGGCAAAGCGCGAGATAATTGCACACTGAGTTTGAGAGTTGAAACAGCACACAAAGTAGAACAGGTGGGACTGTCTTTCTAAAATTTTGACAATGTTGCTTGTTTCTTTCTGGATCCTATTCCTGCCTGTTGATTTTTGTATCTATTCTGCACAATATGGTCATAAGTGTGATCAAACTCATTGGTCTTCTACACACATGAATGAGTGAAGTGAGTACAGTTGAGTGAGATATTCAAGGAAATTGCTTGCTTGCTTAGAGTCTATAAAAAAAAGTACGACTTTTGTTTTCATGTTTGTTGTTTCCATTCCAAAAATAATTTGCATTTACTAGATACAGAAAAACAAGAGAATCAGAGCAAAACAAAATTGAGTAGATCTATGTAACATAGATTTATCAGTGTATTTAATGGCATGCACTGCACTGCACCCAGAAGTTCACAAATGAACTCTGTATTTTTCCTATTTCTCTTTTTTATCAGAGTGTGCAACACCGCTGAATATGATCTGATTCCAATCCATTCCTTAAGGGTAGAATAATTCTGTTAAGACTTCAGTATGGCAACAGCCGATGCCACAGCTGGTGCCATAGGGCCGGACAGTTTCAAGTGGGAAGCCCTACCTCCCATGCCGACCAAGCGTGTCTACTCCTCGGCGGTGGAGTGCAATGGGAAACTCTACGTGATAGGCGGAGTGAGCATGCACGGTAATCCTCTGGATGCCTTTGAGATGTACGACCCTGAAAAGAAGAAATGGAACAACAGGTTACCTAATTTGCCCAATAAGAGGGGACAGCCGGCAGTGGCCGTTGTCGGGGGTAAGATAGTGGTGCTCGGTGGAGTAGCAGGAAGCAAGGAGGCCTCGGATGCAGTGGATGTGTTCGACACAACGTCTAAGAAATGGACTATGGGGATGAAGACGTTGGGGGAGAAGATACAGAACATCTCAACAGTTGTTCATAGTAAGTAGGAATGAGAAAGGGAAAAGATAAAGAACATTTCAAGAGTATTTTGTAATAAGTTTGATTCTTTGAGTAAGTATGCAATGGCTCAATCTCTAATGACATAGACAATGAAACTTATAATATCTTTGTCTTAAGTGTGCTCTCACAACCACTATTCTGTAAGAAGACAACCTCTTAATGAAGAGATTGTGTTATATTGCCTTCCATCAAACTCACAAACTCTCTCACCACCGTTTTAAACACATTGAATACTAAGCCTAAAATAATTAGGGCAGGAGTCAAATGGAAACTATATATACAGGTATATCATACCAAAATCAAATCATATCCTAGGGGCTAATAATGAGCTTTCTGTAAACTATCAATATTAAATCCTGCGTTTTTGTTTCCTTACTAACCTTTCATCTCATCCCCTTCCCCCTGACAGATGGGAAAGTTATCACAATCGGAGGCATGAAAGCAAACACATCCGCCCTGCAGCTCTGCAGAGTCTTGAACATAGAAGAGAATGTATGGCTTGAGCTGCCCGATATGCCGACCGCCAGGTACGGAGCAGCTGCACACATCAAGGGAGATGTCATCTATGTTCTAGGTAAGAAGCTCTTGAATCCATCCAGTAACAGGGGTGATGCTACTCTAAGCACTCTTGTTGATTACTTATACCTGGTTACAATAGGTGCTGTATAAAACAACAATTATTATTGTGAGTAGTATTTCAAATAACATACTCCAATGAGAATGGAAATGTTCTTTGTGATTGAAGAATGTAATTTACTACCTTATTTACTTACTGATAATGGTTTAGTTTAGTTTGATATTAATTGATCCACATGTTATGCCATATACTTTGGGATCTTTGGCAAGATATTTACCACTCCCCACCCAAGTGTAGTAAATGGGTATCCGGTAGGAAGAAATTCCGTGAATGCTTCAAGAGTGCCTTCTCATGGTAGCTCTGCTCTAGCCAGGGTAACAATATATGATTGCAGGTCCCTAAGGAAGACCGGTATAAAAACTGATGAGGCTATCCTGGGTAAAGAAGACATATTATCGTAATTATTATTACTATTATTATTGAGCAAGGATTCAGATATTTGTATAATTCTTTCATGTCGTTTGCAATGGGCATTCAAATTGTCTGTTGAGCTTCGTTAACGCCTTTCTGTGTCAATGATATAGGTGGGATGTTAGAATAAGCACAGAACTCTAAACATTAGTTATGGTGTGTGACAACCAATTGATAGTTATGAGCTGGCATGTAAGTATTAGCACTTCTTTGGGAAGTGGAAATGGTGCTAATGATTAGACATCTATACAAATCAAGTAAGCAATGGCTACTATGACCAACACTGATGTTTACCTCTTATTAAACGTGTGTATTCTTTGTAATGTCAGGAGGGAGAAATGGGAAGTACCCGGTCATGTGTCTTGAGGTCCTGGACCTGAAGCAATCTAGATGGACCAAACTCAAACCTTTAACCAAGCCCAGAGTCTTCTGCTCCTACATCATGACTGATGAGAAGTTCTACTGTATAGGGGGTCTTCAGGCTGATGGGAAGGACTTCCATGATGAGACGGAGGAATACGATGTGGAAAATGGTAGTTATTCCTGTTTTTCTGTTTTACCCCCCCCCCCCCTTTTTTTAAATAATTTTGTTTAATAATAAATTCCTGTAGAGTAGTTTCATTGATGATGTAATTGCACTACATCACCACTCAACTATCTATTAACTTTGTTAGAATATGGTTGGATTACATATCACCAACCTTTATTTTCATCCTCATTTTAATAACTGATTTTACAATTTTGTTGCAAAGAAGTGAAGCAAAGTGGTATAATCATATCCGTAGTTTTGATATGATTTAGTGGTCGTTATTTTACCTGACTGATAAGAAAGCATAAATGCTTGTCAGTAAGCAACCAGCTGGCCGACAGCTTTAGGTCGACTCCGAGGGACCTGGTAACGAGGATTAATACCTTACCAAAGGGCACCGGATTACGAGACCACTGCTCTACCAACTGAGCTATTGCGCCTTTCATTGAGCTATTTGTCATATTTGTCATAATAGTGCTTTCAATACATTTTTATTTCATTGTCTAAGTGTCACGTAACAGTATTTTACATTCCCTAATTTGTTGCGCTTCCATATTTGTTCTAGATGAGTGGACAGATTTAGATTCCATGCCACACGTAAGAGGGGACTTCTGCGCTGGGATGGTAGCAGGCAAGATTGTCGTCGTAGGCGGAATGAGTGAGTTTTAGCCTTTCTCTTTCATCCCTCATACTTTTCAAGGAAATGATTGGAGTTCAAAGTTACTTTTAAAGATACACACACTGGTGATATTTTCACATAAGCAGCATTGTGGTTAGGGTTGCACATTGTAGCTTATTGTGCAACCAGAGACTTTTGCGAGTCGTTCAAATTCAGGGGAGTAATTTTATCTTTGAGCTGCATAGAAGTTCCACAAGTTTTGACCATTCATGTAATTCGTGAAAGTTTAATGCGTTGGAACGTTTTTGCCAGGTGTTTCTCTCTCGTTTCAGGGGGGGGGGGGGGGTCATTGTTTTGTTTCAGTATGGGCTGAAGTTGAAATGAAACCAAAGTGTTGAGTAGTTTGTATTATTACCAACGGTTTAGGTGTAGTTTGAATTTGGCAATGTCATATATATGTGTACTTTGAGCACAAGCATTTGAATGATGTGAAAAATCCTGAACACTAAACAGAAAGAACGCTGGCAAATAATTCTTAGCTATGGCTACTATGCGTTTTAAATTGTGCTACCAGAAATCGCTAACATAATTCCTGTGAATTGATGTCACAAAATTAAAAAAGTAATGTGCCTAATTGTCCAAAATGTAAAATCAGGGATGAGAAATTGTAATGCTTAAACAGCCTATGTCACGAAAAAAACAAAAATATTACTATATGCAACAAGAGCAGCTGTAGGATTATTTGCTAATATCCCGGCAAAAAAATGGGGGGGGGGGGAGGGTCTGGAGCCCCTTCCCTCCCTGACCCAGCCCTTTTGATTCAGAAACTCCAATAAGTGATTTCACTTGTCTTACTTCATTGTTCTCCCTACCAGGTCGCAAAGCCCTCCCTCTGACGGAAGCAGAGTTTCTAGACGATGATAAGACATGGAAACCCATAGCTGACTGTCCGGTCTCCAGAGGATCAGGTACAAGCACGGTGTTCCAGGACAAGCTAGTCATCATTGGAGGTTTCACACCTGAGGGTGTCTCCAGTGCGGTGGAGCTGCTGAGCGTAGGGTCGACGTCAGAGACTGCTGAAGCCTCGGAGGCCTCTAGAGGGCAGGCTAGGAGGGGCAAGGGCAAGAGGAGGTGAAGCACACCATTACTAAATATTTAAAATGTTATCATGAATTGTTAGAGCAATTAGGGCTTTGTGAATTACAAAAATACTTGGCTGAATGAGGCTTTATGAATTACAAAAATACTTGGCTAAATGGGTCTTGATGAATTTAATATATTGCTTACCGTTATTTGATCAAGGCTTATGAATTACAAAAATACCTCTCTGAATGAGGCTTAATGAATTACAAAAATACTTGTCTGAATGAGGCTTTATGAATTACAAAAATACCTTTCTGATAAGGGCTTTATGAATAACAAAAATACCTTTCTGAATGAGGCTTTATGAATTACAAAAATACTTGGCTGAATGGGTCTTGATGAATTCCAAAATACTTGTCTGATCAGGGCTTTTGGAATTATATATATTACTTATTTGATCAAGGCTTTATGAATTACAAAAATAGCTCTCTGAATAAGGCTTTATGAATTACAAAAATACCTGTCTGAATGAGGCTTTATGAATTACAAAAATACCTGTCTGAATGAGGCTTTATGAATTACAAAATACTTGGCTGAATAGGTCTTGATGAATTACAAATATTATTTTATATCTGATCAGGGCTTTATGAATTACATAAATATTTGTCTGAATGAGGCTTTATGAATAACACAACTACTTGTCTGAAGAGGCTTTATGAATTACAAAAATACTTGGCTAAATAGGTCTTGATGAATTACAAATATTACATAACTGATCAGGGCTTTATGAATTACAAAAATAATTGTCTGAATGAGGCTTTATGAATTACAGATACTACTTATCTGATTAGGGCTTTATGAATTACAAAAATACTTGTCTGAATGGGGCTATGTGAATTATGAAAATACTTGTCAAAATAGAGCTTTATGATTTTTGATAATATTTGTCTGCTCAGAGTCTGATAAATTTTGAAAATACTTGGGGAAGTGGAAATCGTGTTACATTAAAATTGTTAGAAATTCTAGCAATTTTGATTTGTCGATGAAAATACATGCAAACTTATTTATGCAACTGTCAATGCTGTAGTAAGCAACTTTCCAGTACTCATAGATAATAGTACTATGAAGCAAGTGAAGTAGTATAATATAGTATCAGTATGTTTATATTATGCTTGTGATAAAGTAAGCTACGCATTTAGTCAAATAATACTTACAGTATGTTACAGTTGTTCCTTTTGTTCTTAAATTGGTCTCATGGATTTTTTAGATTTATAAATGTAAAGCATTTTTTTGTGTATTTCTTATTCTTTTTTGAGGGTTGCAGTAAGAAAATTATAAGTGCCATTATTCTTCATTAGCCTTGCCAGACATACTTGGATTTGTGAGGCCGTAATCATGCCTTGTCAAAGCTCAAAATTACCTGAAATAGGGAAGTTGAGCTAGCATTCCAACTCTATACCCTTTCAGCTTTGTCAATTATTTTTCTTTTTAAAAATCAGACTATTTTCTCTCAATCTTCTCCCTGGCACTGGGGAAAAGAAAGAGAGAGAATTGTTTTTAGATTGAATATGTATGAGTAATTACATAGAACCCAACTTGGGCATGATTTCCTCTTTGTATATTGTACAGTACTTCTTTTATTTTATTTATAAGTTTGATATCATGTATTTATAGGCATGTGTTGTGGTGTTTATCACAATTTTGATGGCACAATAGTCTTTAAAAAAAAATCTTTTGTAATGAATGATTATGGAAGAAAACTAGTGTGTATTGTGGTATTATCATAAGAGGCTGCATTTATTTTCTAATGCGTCATTGCAATAATAAAAGTGGGATCTCTCTTCCATATAAACTGTCTAATAAACCAGGACCTGTCTAATAAGGAGTTGCAATTGATCCCAATATTTGTGTATGTTGCATGCATGTGAATACTGCGGTAGCATCGTCCGTAGTTGTAATATTCCCAATTGACCCCGAGTCAGGCCACAGGAAAGACACAAAGTCTCATCATGCTATACCCCCTTTAAAGGTAAAGACCAGTATTGGAAATGCCCCAATTTCAAAAAATGAAATGGAAGCTCTCATTACCAATCATGTGAAAGAATATGTTTTGACTAATACATGATGATAAAAAAATTTGCCGGGAATCCGCCTACTAATTCATATATTTGGTAAATTTGTTTCTCTCATGGTCTGTGAGAGATATAGGGTAGTCCTATATACATCTTTCTGTGTATAGTACTTGTAACTTTACAAAAAATGGGCCAAATTTCTTATCATTTTGAAGATTCCAGAACCTTGCAGATGCTAGATGCTAGATGATCAACCTTTTCTGATCGATTCCACAACGTTTCTTTCACAATGCAATCGCATGACCATAACTGGTCTTTACCTTTAAGCTTAGTCTTAGTAGAATTTATTTATTTTGAAAAATAATAACAATTTAAAACTTGGTCAAAGTTGCTTCCTTTGACTTGGCTCATGACTGAGCTCAGATCCACCATTATTTTTAAATTAATGAGAAGGTGAGAATTAAGAAACTATCTACATTTCAATACAGATGCATTTTTATTTGCTTGTGTGCAATATTTAGATACAATGCTATGTTGACTGAATGTCAAAATTGAGTTCATTGTGTTATTAATACTTTCAACCTTAATATTAAGGATTTTCTTGTGAAATACCTCTATGTCATTTGACATTTTGGCAAAGCTCTAATTCTTAGCATCTCCTGAATTGCAGTGTTACTGTAAACAAGTTGTAACCACTAAGGTGATTTGTGATCAAAATGTTGTTGTCCTGGTGCCTGCTGAAACAACTGCAAAGGTTCTATTCCTCTTGACATGTCAGCATTCAAAAGGTATTCCTAATAAGTGAAGTCTCTGTGTAACAGCAAGCCCCTGATTAAAGATAATACAAATTTAGTTATTTTATTTCTCTCTCCCCCTCCCCTCTCCCTCCTCTCCCTCTCCTCTTCCCCTTCCCCTCTTCCCCCTCCCCTCTTCCCCTCTTCCCCCTCACCTCTTCCCCCTCCCTCTTCCCCCTCCCATCTTCCCCCTCCCCTCTCCCCTCCTCCCCTCTCCCCTCCTCCCCTCTCCCCTCCTCCCCCTCCCCTCTCCCTCCTCCCTCCCCCCAAAAATATCATGAGTCAGCGTGTGTTATCTTGTAATGTAGGTGTATCCCCTCTTCCCCCTCCCCTCTTCCCCCTCCCCTCTCCCCTCTTCCCCCTCCCCTCTCCCCTCCTCCCCCTCCCCTCTCCCTCCTCCCTCCCCCCCAAAAAAAATATCATGAGTCAGCGTGTGTTATCTTGTAATGTAGGTGTATCTAAAATTGTAATTGGACAATGTATCACTTTAACACTCTCCTACAGACATTAAGTATGTATTGGTATGAATGATGAAGATGGAAGTTGTGTGTGACAATAATAATCATTCTCATTGGTTCAGGTTGGTTAGTGACATCTTTGTTTTACATGCACAGAATTGGACTTGATCTACAAGAAATGAAAGTCCCGTTTCATACTTTGTGGGAATTCATATTTATTATTGAAATTATGCATATTTGTTTTTAATTAGGTTTAACGATTGAATGTTTGCAGTGTGAAAGAGAATTCCATCATTTTCTACAAAATTGGCAACTTTGTAATAAAGTACATATTCAACTCATTTTATACCTTCAATACGATTGATTCATGTTGTCATTTGTATATTTATTGATTTTAGTTTTATTTACTAACTACAAGATATCAGCTGGGTCACAATGCTTATGCAGATAACTTGGGTCTCTTATATCAACTGACACCAAATAATCAAGATAATTTACATTTGAATGACCACTTTTCCATAAATCACTTTTTTTTAAACATGCAAAATTCAGGCGTGACACAAATTGATATCTATTCTGACTGAAATCAGCCAAGTTTAAAGTGATGTAGGGGCTTAGAAATTGTACCCTTTTTTGGGGGGGGGGGGGGTTCACACAACAACAAAAACAAATTTTTAGTCATTTCTATGGTTTTATGATAATTTGTGAAAGAAAATGCTTTGTTGTGTGTTTGTTCTGATATATACCATCAACATTTCTTGCTTGATTAAGCAATTTATTACTCTATTGACTTTTTATAGTTATGAATTTTTGGTGTGTTTTCAAAATTATGCTGAGATAATTTTTATGTCAGACTATGGATGACAAAAAAATATTATCAAAGTAAACAAGAATTACCATGATCTCAAAACTTACAATTAACATATTATGCTTGCAGTTATTTCCATGTGGCATCTTAACTGTGCTTTTGATTAATCGATGGATCAAGAACTTTCTGTATGGACCGTCTTTAGTGATATACTTGTTAGACATGCAACATCTGAAGTATGCTGGCTTGTATTTAAAAAATGTCAAAAAAATAAATAATCTTAATCACTCTATAAAGTAGTTAATTTCTCAGTCAAGCATAAAACGTTGGTGGGATATGTCGGGACATACAAAGCCTGTTTTTTCATATTTTGTCCTTTAATGATAAGAATATGATTGACGATTCCAAACTAAAGCATGCTCTGCAGTCGGGTACGTCAGGACATATGAACCAACAAATCCAAAGTAATGTTATATTTTGCTACAATTAGTATAACAAGTCAAATTGGTTGAAATTTGTAGGATCAGTTCAGAAATATTATGGACACATCTTTAGGTGGCAAAACAATCCAAGAAATACATGTACATGTAATTGTACAGTTTTTCACTCACATCTCAAATTGCCTCCACATCAAGCTTAAAATTATTACAAATTTCAATTTATTTACATAACATGAATAACATTTGCATAACAAGTTTTGCAGTCCTTTGACACCAGGGGCCCGTTTCATAAAAGCCCCTTTTCAATGACAAATGACAAAAATCAGTGAAAAATCTGCTGATAACTATTAAATCTGATTAAATCAGAAGCAAGGATTTCATTTGTTACTGATGACAAGTTTTGTGAAACGCCCCCTGGTTTGTTTTGGTTTCTTGATGGTTTGAAAATCGCAATTATAGTTTCATTAAAAACTCACATGCATAGAAATCAATAAATGATACAATAAGACAAAATAACACGTAAACTCATCAAGTATATCTGTATATTTATTTTGCTCAAAGAATATATAAGCCAAGAATTCATAGAGAACATGCGATGTATCAAGTGTAAAATATATACAAACATAATTTGGCAAGTTCTTGATTCTTCTGATTAGGAGATAATAGTAATATATATATAAATGAATTTGTATATACAAATATATATCACATGCAATCTTACTAAATAATTAACCATTTGCATAATTGAATACAGTCCCACATTGAAGAGATGGCCCAGTATACATATGGGGGGGGGGGGGGGGGGGGGGGGGGGGTTGTGAGGAATTAAAACATTTACCAGGTTATACCAATATCTCACTATACTGACCCATATTGGAGGCTTGTAAGGAATTAAAACATTTATCAGATTATACTGAAATCTCGCTATAGCGGCCCATATATTCTTTCTATATATAGCGGCTTGTGAGGAACTAAAACATTTACCAGGTTAAACCAATATATTGCTATATCGGACCGTATCGGGAGCTTATGAGGAACTAAAACATTTACCCGGTTATACCAATATATTGCTATATTGGACCGTATCGGGAGCTTATGAGGAACTAAAACATTTACCAGGTTATACCAATATCTTGCTATATCAGCCCATTATCAGGGCCTACAAACAATATGCAAAGAATATAGACTGGCTTAACCTTCTTTCGTTTTTCGATATTTTTTTAGACAAGCGCTAACACAAAGACCTTAAAAAAATCCAGTCAAACAAATTGTCCATACCACATGGTATAGCCTTCTAAAAATCATTGTTGTTTTAAAATGCCACAGCCATGTGATAGAAATGCCTTTAGGCCGATTTTCGAAAGTCTTTGCAATCGTGATCATGAACATATGGAATGCCAAATTAAATAAAATTGAGTGTGTTTGGCCCAATATGATGTCAATGGAACTGACAGGAATAAGTGCCATTTAATTTTTCTTGACTTACTCAATAATACTTACATAAAAATTGCAATATCATTTTCAAAATCAATGTTCATGAAGTTTCATCCCAAAATAGCAATTCCTACCATAAAAGAGAAACATAGGAGAATATCTTTAGCAGAGAATTGGATATTCAGATCAATGAGTTTGGTAATAATATATATTCTACAAACAGACACCCAGATCAAATGTGTTACAATGACACAGCTGTGCACGATTATCTGACTACATACACATATATGTTTGCTTAGATGTTATCTATTACTGTCATATGTTGGTCTGCACTGAAACTCTTTCTTTTAATTAAAAAAAAATGGAATGTGTAATTTGTTTCACTATACAGCATTAAAACCTTAGAAAATATTTAATCAGCTTTTAATTTCAACTGCTTTTTACAGACTAGAAACGCATTGTGGAACAGGGATTACAGAGTACACAAAGTCTAGACGCTGATCGTATATTCTTGTTTGATTCGTTCATTTCATCATTTCTATAAAATTCTTTGTGAAAATTGCTGTCTTTTTCCAATTCTACCTCTCTTCCATATGCAAATTTGTAAATTTGTCTACATCCGATGGGGAAACGATTGGGCAATATGTTACCACATTAAGGCACACAAATATGGATGATACAAATGGTTCATTCCTGAGAAAAAGCAGAACAATCAGTGATTTCATTGAGAGTAAGCTATTTAACTCACCCTACGCATGTGATACTTCCTTGATTATTGATGATTACAATAGAACAACTTCGGTACCAACTCAAAAATCCACTTTTTTTTTTACATTTTTGTCATATAAGTTCTCGACTTACTTGTTATTTCTTATTTTGTAATACATGCACTTGATTTCAAATATTCAGAAAAGAAAAGCATTGCAATATTTTTGTGACCAGAAATTATGAACTATACAACATCATTTATACAGCTGTCTGTAGGTATTTTCGCTTGTATAAAATCTTTAAAATAATGCATGAAATGGCATATTTGCTTCCACAGCAACTAAGCAGACAAAATGTTCAAAGTATAAAGTCAACAAGCACATGAATGACATGAAGTTACAACGATGCATTGAATTGTTGCCATCAAGGACAGTAATATACTTCAGAGAGTTTGGGCTATTAGAAGAGGCCTTTCATGTTAAACCAATCAATAAACAGTAGTTATTGAACACCAGTCGTAAAGTGGGATGGGCTAAAGAGGACTAACTCCGGTGGACTGTCAATATCGGGTAAACCTTTATGTGAACTCTCCTTTGCATTAGGCCTAAAAAAAGAAGATGTTGTATTGACCTTTAGGTGCCAAAACATGGGTCAGTCGGTCGGAAATCTTTTTTTTTTTTACTCCCTCTTTTGGCTGATATTTCTCAGTTTTGAATGCTTTAATTCTTTTTTTTTCTTCTAAAAAAATGGTTAAAAAAACAAAAAGCTGACAGAGATTTCAAGATTTTTGGGTCGGTCGCAAAGGGCAATACAACATCTTTTTTTTTAGGCCTTAGACAACGTCACCGACATAACGGGTGGGCTGAAAGTGGATGGAGTACAAGCAGTCTAGTCCCAATCATCATCGTCGTCCCCTAGACCACCTCCTCCCATCGGTCGGGGAGGCGGGGGTATCATAGCTGCTAGCTTGTTTATTGCTTTGCCTTGTGGTGGGGCAGGCTGGTTTATGTTAGGAAGAGAATCGTCTGTTCTTCCCCCTCCTCCCCCTCCTCCTCCACCTGTTTGATAAGAGTAAAAAGTTGGTGGAATGTTGATTATTAACATGTTTGTAATTTATTTAATGACATCCTCCCCTGAAAGGCAGAAATGTGTTGACTCTACATAAAATCATCAAGAATGAACATCCTGGCACTTGGCAGATGACATAAATTTAAACTTGCACAAAAGAGCCATTCAAGCCATTCATACTTCGGATCTAAAAGCAATTTTTGACAGATAGATACACTTTATTTTACAGGATCAATTTAAGCAAATGTCTGTATGCTACAGGCACCTATTCAACAATGGTTGCTCTTGATGATTAGAAAGCTTGCCTAAGGCTTACTGACTTATCTACCATTGTGATACGTCACTAATGCACCCAGCATGCTACAGACAAATCAAATATCATACATTTTGATTGGAATACTTCCTAAAGATTCAGTTCTTGATTTTTTGAAAGGCGTAAGCCACATTCCGATCCACCTTGTTTTTGTTTAAAACGCCTGCCGAAATTTCACCTTTTTTTTGCAGTGTTAGTGCAAACTTCGGTAAGATACTGATTTGCACTTCCGTGATGACGCATGCAAGGCACCGACGAGTGGCACATGCGCACTACTCACCAAAGAATCAATATGAGCAAACAGTAGTCCAAAATTGATGATTTTTCTAAATGGTGTTTTGGATGTGTACATTAAATGGGCCTACTGAGATTGGATTGTCCCATTGGATATTACCCAGTTCAATTTTAAAGATAAGTTGAGTTCTGGTCATGCAATGGCATTGTGAAAGAAACGGTGTGGAATCAATCAGAAAAGGTTGATCATCTAGCACATAAGTATTGGTGTGCACTGCAAGGTTCTGGAATCATCAAAATGATAACAATCTGGTCCATTCTCAAAAATATGTCCCGATTTTTATGTTGTTACATGCCATATTTAGAATATGAAAGCATTTGAAGAGCCATGCTTTTCAGGGAAAATTTTTTCTCTGATGTTCTTCCACGCTTGCATAATAACAATGAAAACGCTCACAAATTATTTTTCACCTCTTCCCAGAACTCAACCTTCTCTTTAAATGCAGTGATGATTCTATCGTCTACATATCAGAGTTCATACCTCCTCCTCCTCCTCCTCCGGCTTGCTTAGTTCCTGAGATTCCTTTCCGCCTGAGTGAAAGCTTGTTGAAGAGATCGGACATCAGATCTCCACCTCCAGAGGGCGGTGCCTGCTCCTTCTCACGCTTCTTCTCTATCTTCTTCTCTCGCACACTCTGCTTCAGATTCTTCAATCCGCCTGAAAGGAGTTCAAACCAGTCACTCATTCATTTAATAACATGCCAGGGCCCCATTTCACAAAAGCTTGTCATCAGTGACTAATGACAGTTTTTGTTATAAGCTAGTGAAATCCTTGCTTCTGATTGGTTATTAGCAGATTTGTCACTGATTTTTGTCATTTGTCTTTGAAAAAAGGCTTTGTGAATCGGGTCCCAGGTGCAATGTTTTGCAATAGTGTATGTGACCAATTATGCACTTCAACTGATTAAAGTGCCTCCCTCCTCCTCCTCCCTCCTCCTCATTAGGCATGTTTTTTGGCCAAGAGTATAAACTTGCTGTGTTAAATAGACAGTGCACATTTTGACTAAGACACAATAAAAAAAGTAATATAATCTTTATAAATCCATGTTTAATTTTTACACAATATAAAATACATGACATACAGTTATATAATTATCTAGCTTATATTTTTTGCAATAAGGATCAGTATAGCACTTGGTATAATATAAAATATGCATGATTATGCACTTATATTTAACAGATATATTTCATGACATATGATGATACTTTTTATTTGTTTAAACTAAAGAGAGAATGGTGGAAGCTGAATTGCTATAAATACCACGATCTTCAACATACAGGTCTGCTCGTCATTTCGAAAGAACCTACCTGCATTCCTGATCGACTCCAAGAGACTTGATCTTCCGGTTTCAGCCGCTGCTACCGGAGGTGGAGCTGCAGCAGCAGGTGCAGTTCTGGTATTCACTGCCGTAGGGGGTGGTGGAGGGGGCGGAGGGGGTGCTGCTGCCTGTGGTGGGGGTGGTGGAGGGGGTGGTGGCGGTGCCCCTGGAGCTGCTCCAGGGGGCATGATGGCAGGAACGTTACTGGATCCTTCAGGAGCAGGTAAGGCAGGGAGGTTGCTCGGCTGGGAGGATGTCAGGCTGGGTAGCTCAGGGATGTGAGCACCGGGAAGAGAAGGAGCTATCGAATCCTCCAGGTCAGAGCTGAAGATGATGTCATCAGCAATACCTACAAATTATAAAAGCACATTTATGTTTCTGGAGAATGTGACATACCAAAGCTTAGATATAAAAATATTGAACAAAGGCTCTAATTAAACTAGTTCACCTTCCATTCTTGAGTTACCAAAATCAATTTACAAGGGGTATGAATAATTTAGTTATTACACTATAAACATGACGGACAAAGAGAGCGGTAATCTACATGAACAAAAAAATTATAATTTATTATTAGAGTATATGATTGTATGAACCATAGGCCTAAGCAAAGCTGTAGGTAAGCCACTGGGTAATGAGATTAAGTCCATGAGAAAAGCATGTGGTTAGATTATCTAAGCATTAAGACGTACATGTAGGGTCAAGACCAAGACCAAGTCATTAAAATACCCTGTCTCAAGAAGTGCATCTATTTATCACTTGTTCTCAGAATACACCAACCCATTACATGGTGGGGTAATAATATGATTGCAGGGCCCTCAGTGAGAACAGTATGAATACTGATGAGGCTGCCCTGGGTAAACAAGACATATTATATTATTATTATAAGCACAGAGGCATATCCAGTTCTATATATCAGAGAGCATCAAGAAAGCATCAAGACTTTTGTTTTGCCAACCTGGTAGATCAGGGAGGAAGCTAGGCACATCAATGTCTGGTACCTCCCCAAGATGAGGAACATAGAAGAAGTTATCACTGGTGATGCGATCCAGCTGCTCTCTCTGGAGGATGGATGTTGGAGCCTGACCCATCTCCTGCTGTTCCTCCTCGATCGCTTTTCTGGTCTTTGTGACCGCTCCCAGTGGATCGATCATCACATATTTCTTGTATCTGGCATGGTTGAGTGAAAAAGAGAAGACAAAATGATATTTATTTTATTCAATTAGAATATTTCAAGCTTTTGTTTCAACTTGTTCTCAGAGGTGAAAATGTAAAACCTGTGCCAAGCAAGCTAATGAAAGAGAGATGAGAACAACTTTCTTGGACACCATTATCAATCTATAATAAAATAACTTTCTTTAATAATAGATTTAGCTTGAAATGTTACATGCCAATTCCCACAAATTATTTTGAGAACAATGAGGCAATACAAAATTAGACTGTTTATAAGACTTTGGAATGATAACATTCTACAAAAGTTAAATGAAGACGCGATACTGTCAACTTCCATGAAAGGTGACTTTCCTGGTTCAAGAATGAATATCATTAGTTCAAATTCTGAAGAACAATCACAGTGGAACATTAATTAAAGTAAACCTGCTAATGTCTACTCTCCTAGAAGAGAAATCTGTCTCCTTTTTTTTACATTTTGTTTGTTTTTTAGATGCAGAACACCATGGATGACAATTAAACTGCATTTTCACCTAACACATCTTGTAATCCAGGACTGTTTCTGTGATTATCTTGCAGCTCAAAACACTTAAGATATGTTTACATCATTGAATACTACCTTCACAGCTTAAATCCCGTCTGTTATAGTTTGGCCAGGGGGATTAGACCTCCCTGCAAGTTCACTGACAGGTGATTATCTCATCAAATCAGCTCTCAATTAAAATAGGAAAAAGGGGATCATGGGGGACCAACAGACACTGATTAGGCATTGTTTGCTATACAGAGGGCGCAAGTAGCTGTAAGTAGTGCAGTGGGGCTTTAAGGCCTAGGATATCTATGGGAGCAGAACAAGAAACTTACGGATTTTCACTTGTGTTGAAAAGAAGCAATGATGTTATTGATCCAACGTTCCTTGGAAGACCTCCCAGACCTTCCCACGTATTCTCTCCATCTTTGTCTTTCTTCCTCACATTCAATTGCACATTATAAAACTGCAGCTTCTCCTTCAAGGCTCTACTGTCCAATGTCTGATGCTTGCTAGCCAGCTTACGAGATGGCCTGGGAATACTTGACAAGTCTGTGTTGTCCGCAAACACCGACTGGTATACATCGTTCTTTTCCGGAGCCGGATACTTTGAACTTGAGAATACCTTGATGGCCTTACGGCTGTTCTTGATCTTATCGACCTTGGCCTGAGCAACGTCCAGTCGTTTATTGATGGTTGTTAACCGTGTGTGATTGTCGGTCACCCTCTTTTCGATGCGGTCAAAGACATCGTTGGCGATTTTCTCCAGATATTCGAGGGTGTCAGCGATCTGATGGATGGTTTCTTCCCGCCTGAGATCAGGCTGGATGATGGGAATGTCATAGACCTGACTCGGCATGCTGCTGTATCCCTTCAACCACAGAGCTTGTCTATAGCAATGGACAGCACACCTGGCTTCACTCTAGAGACTACCTGCAGCAAAATGACAATTTACATGGTTAATACCATGTAATTGATTTCCATGTTATTGTTCATATACCTTGTAGCACCATACTGTCCTGACTATGTTGACAGCATGCATGCAATTTTAATTTATCTCTTTCATATAACTTGACAGTCAAGATTGCATACGTTGGTTATCATACAGATATCGATTGCTGGTATAATCATCAATCAAACATACTAGATCTACAGTATGGCGGTGTGACCAAAGTTCGCACGTGACCAAAGTTCGCTTTCTCAAAAAATCGGTAAGATTTCGAAAATCTGATATCACCAATGGAAAGAGGGTCATAAAATTACCCAGAAACGAAATTTTCTTTAGAATTGGGTGCGAAATTGTGAAAATATTGACAAAAGATCGGCAAATTTTGCAGTTATTTGCGTCCGTTCCGAAAAATTATCAACTTACCGATAAGGGTCTGGAAATCTTCATTTTGAGATCAGAAATCCTCAAAATTGTAAGTAAAGAGTGGTACTAATTAACTGATTGTACGATATCTTGCCTTGCAAATTATGATATTACCTTATTTTTGATGGATCGCATTTTTTGATAAATCAACTGTAAACCACCGTGCGTGAAGTTAGGTCTCATTGTTTTTATGACTTTTTTAGATGCAGCGCGCACGCACGATCGGACATCAAATTTTTAGATCGCGATATCTCCGAAATCCTTCGACGGTAAATTTTTCTAGTTGAACCAATCTGTAGTAAAAAACTTTGCTGTCCATTTGGTAATAATTGAAATAAATAAAGTTGTGTAGAATGTGAGAAATCATAGATCGAATATCACATTTTGTAATATGTTCTAAAATGTCCGCGAACTTTGGTCACCCCTTCATACATAAGCTTGATCATCGATCATAGACGGATACAGATGTGAAGACAATACAATACATGAATAGACTCTATTCGTCAATTTTTGGCTTTCAGAGCGATAAAGAAATTGTGTTCCTGCTATACAGTACACTCAATTAAATAAATTGGAACATACTCCCTCCCCCCCCCCCCCCCCCCCCCCCCCTTCCTTCACCCCCCTTCCTTCCCTGTCCCAATAATGACAACATGCAACAGTAACACTCAACAGTTTGAAAGAGAATCAAAACATTGATTAATATAACTTATAAGACAGAACACATTGAAATATTCTTTTACAAAATTAAGTAGTTTATTGCTTTTCGTGCAGTGCAGGGTAAACCTGATTACTGAAGCCCGGTAAGGGGCGTAAACTACACGTATACACTATACACAACACTGAAGTCCAGAAAAGCGGTGCAGCGTAAACGCCGACCCCCGATACTTCGGGCTTCACGCTTCCCACAGAACCTGATAAAACATCGCAGCATTTCAATCATGTATTCTAAAAACTATTTTTTTATGGTTAATATCTCATATCAGAGTAATATAAACAGATGAAATGCATGCAATATATATTTAATTAACATATCAGCATCCTTCTGAAATCAAAATACTACTTACAATGGACAAAAATTGATGAAATAAAGACGCATTTAGTTCCAACGGGTGGTTGTCGTCGGTCACAAGACTGCCCCATTGACTCATTACTTCCGGGGTACGGCCTATACGGTACGGTATTGTGGAAATCATCCATTAATTCACAAATGAATAAATAGGGGGAAAGACTTTCGAGACATATATCTTCCAAATCATTTTTCTTCTCCCTTTAAATAATAAGCCTTCGTGTGGAAAGTTCTTTCTTTGTCATCATTATTGTTATCATTATCAATATTGATAGTGAACAATTTATTCCTTTGATTCATAAATTTCCACAAAGTAAATGATGACGATGAATATTATATAACCGCCGGGTTACATTTTTATACACTTATTTTCTAAAACAAATTACGAACATTCAACCGTACAAAGGTACAATAGCCTACTGTCCAATCAATTCCAACTCACTAGTTCAACATTGCATATTAGGCATATAGTTGAAAATATATATATCATGTTATATTTTCTACACATACCATCCTGTCTTTATTATACAAAAATAACTTTGTGAAACACCATCGGAGAGACTTTATAAAAAAAATCAACCTACATTATAAGACAAATCTCAGATAGATAGCCATGTGCGTCACTTATTGACATGTGCTAACTTGACAGTGACATAATAATCCGAGGAGTCTACAGGCAATAAAAAAAAATTGGTCGAAAACCTTTTTGAATTGTAAACTTTATCCATATACATGAACATTTTGTTTCACAATACACAAATAAAACGATTATAAAAACAAGAAAATCAACAAGTGGTGAGTTTCGCGAGTAATCACAAATTAACCATTAATAAAGGGGGGCAGGAGTGGGGGCCCCTCTGCCCCCCCCCCCCCCTCACCTGGATCCGCCACTGGCTGACATCGTATAGTATCAATTTGTGAGGTGGCACTGTGAGTCAAGTCTATCAAATCTGAGTGACAAGAGAAGTTTTTTTTGTGTGTGTGTTTTTTTCAAGTGGAAGGAAAATGTGGGACTGGCTCGTGTGTTTTTCTAAAGTGTTGTAATTCTCCAAAATTTCTGCATGTAAAAAAAAAAATACCAACCACAAAGAACATCAGAGACAAAAAAAAAACGCCGCCCTGATCGATGTATAGTCTCACACTGCATGACGTTCTTGATCACTCGATATTGCTCTATTGCGATCATTTTCAATGCAGGTCTACCTGTACATCACAATCTTTATAAGCATAATTATAACAAATCTTTTGATGTCTTTTTTTTTCTGCCTTAAAACTGTTCAAGTTATTTTGTCCCTGTAATCCATGTATAGTTTGATTCAGAAGAGAAGTATTATATCCGAAGTTATAATCGTCTGCAAAGTTGGTTGGCGGGAAGCTTTCTCAACTAAAATTAAATCAAATTTCTAGAGTATATTACATTCTCAACTTCGAACATGATTTAATTTGATGAAAAGCAATTATGCAACGTTTAACAATTGGTCATACCTATACAATTTCGTGCCATGTGTGTTCAAAATATTTTTTGAAAGTACACGTAGGCCTATTTCCGCTTTGAATTATTAATGATATTTGGATAGGAGAGAGAGGAAGGGAGGGAGAGAGAGAGAGAGAGAGAGAGAGAGAGAGAGAAGAGAAAATGAGTGAGTGAGATTCGGAAAGAGAAAATGAGCAAGAGAAGTCAGGCGCGGACCCAGGATTTCTTAGGGGGGGGGCAACTTTTTTTCTTTTGCTCCCGAAAATTTGAAAATCGCGCCGGCCGAAAATTCGCTCAGTGGGGGGGGGGGGGGGGGATCCCCCCAAAAAGGTAAAAAGGTTTTCCCAAGGGGGAGGTCCGGCCCCCCCCCCCCCCTGAATCCGCCACTGAGAGAAGTACATGGAAAAATCAACACGATAAACAGGACGGTGCGAATGACCCAGGTGTGCAGCTCTAATATTTATTTTTCATAGCTCTCTATGTCAATTGTCCAGCGTGTTCCCCAAGGCAAATACAGAAGGCTAATATTTACATATTCTCAGAGGGCTATCCGGCCAGGCCATGCATCTGTATTTGGCCAATAAAACCATAACTGACATCGATGACTTTTTTCAGGGGCGGGGGAGCAAGAGATGCAATGCCCCCGAATACCCAGATATTTCCCTTAATTTTTTTTTAATGCCCCCTTTATTTTAAGGGGCCGAGTGATGGTCCCTAGCAATGCCATGCATGGAATTGGAGAGTTTAGCCAACCCGGTTCAAGTAAAGGGCACAATATGACGACTATAAAGTTCGTAAATTTCCAAATGACATTGTAGGCCTATATAATGGCCAATTTTGAAATAGCCACAGGTTGATTTTTTTTCTCTCGAAAGTGTTGGCGATCCTGTTGATCATTCACTTTTCTTAATGAACAATACCTGTAATAATGGGCAGTAATCTCAATGACCTGCAGGGCATGCCCTTTAATCGGCAAAAGCTGCTTCGAGGGAAATTTCCTATATACGTTAATCAAAATTCTAAGTTTTACCTTGGATTAAATAACATGACTTAACCCTATAACTCTCCCCCTATACATCTATCTGAAAATCAAATTACGACCGTGTAAATAACCTTATTTAATACACGATCATGCCGAGAGCAAATAAAGGATGTCACCTGTGGCCACCCCACATTTCGCAAGGCATTACGCTGAGGATTAATGCCCCACAAAAGGGCACTAATATAGCACATCGACACGGTTTTGATCCTGGGGCCTCACAGTTACGAGGCCATTGCTTGGCCACTGAACCATGACTGTACGCAGCGGGGGCTAGGGTGCAGTTCCCACAAATAAAAAACAACCAAGAAAATGCAATAATTTTTCAATAATAATATTCATTGCATTTTACCCCGATCCCCAAAAGAAACGAAATCTTCTGTGTGCCCATGCCTTGAGCCATAATGCATGGTCGTACCGAGGAGTTTTTTTATGTTGGCTACCTAGTAAGGAGTGTATAATAATAGTCGAGTGGTTCAAGAACCTGACCTGAAATTCGAAGGTCGTGGTTCGATCCCCGACACGGCACTAAATGTACATTTGCCAAACTCGACCCAGGTGAGGTAAATGGGTACCTGGCAGGAATTAATTCCTTGAAATGCTAGAGCGCTGTAATGGCAGCTAGGCAAATTTGTGCGCCTCGGAATAGAATTGTCTAGAAAGACGGCACTATATAATTATTACTGTTATTATTAAGCAGCTTACTGGAAAGCAGTGCAACTTTTCCCATTAATATACCCCACATGCATAAACATACCAGAAGTTCCACTGTTGATTGACCGGGCATGGCGGCTCAGTGGTAAGTGCGCCCGCCTCAAGAACGGGAGGTCGTGGGTTCGAACCCCGGCCGAGTCATACCAAATACTTATAACAATGGGACCTGCTACCTTAATAGCTAGGCGCTCAGCATATTAGATTGGAGAAGGGTAGTAATAACATATTATGTTATGCAGGGCCCGCTGTTAGAGCAGTTTCATAACTGAAGTGGTTACCCTGGGTAAATAAAACGTTATTATTGTTATTATTATTATTATTATATAATAACTCTTGAAATTAAGGTACGTGTCAAAAACTTATATGTATTGAGTAAGTATATGCCCATGCATTGTTTCCAACCTTTTAGCTTTCATTGAAATTACTTCTGGACCGTCCAGGCAAAACTTTGAGAACACCTGCTATTTGGTATTGAAACTGTCTTTGAGTTGGTTCTTGTAAGTCTTTGCGGTCGTTTTGATGGTTAAAAGTAATAGATAAGATTTGAAACAGGCAAATATTACGAAAAAGGAGCATTATAACATGTGCGTGTGTGTTAATTGGGTAATGCAGTTCATGAATAATATTCATTGAATAAGAATGGTCATTTTGTCCTATTTCTCAAAGGGGTTTTAAGGGTATTCAAACCAGTATTTAATGAAATTTGCTATCTGTTTACACAGCTGTGAATAAACATGCACGATTTGCAATTTTGTCCATTAAACGCGAGTAAATTAATATTTAGTTAAATAATTTGAATTAGAAGATCAATGAACGAAATGCTGCAGATTTTTTTTAATAATTCGATTTTCGGTTTAATTTAATACAATTTGGAGTGCACTTTAAAAGATTATTATATAATTATTATAAATAAATCAATCGTAAAAATTTTCCAGAGACGCTCTAAAATGTATATAAACCGAACAATTATCATCAGTTCATCATTATTCATATACAGTCATACTTTACTTTGAATCGAGCTTCCAGTCTAGTATTGTAAGTATAATTTGATTTTTTAAAATTCTCCAGAGCTTTTTCTGGCGACATTCTAGGAAACGGATTTTAATTTTAAAACATGTTCTGACAGTGGTGTATCTAGACATCGGGGAAGGTGGACGTTCCCCTTTAAAATATTTTTTTCTTGTAATTTGTAATTTTTTAATGATTTTGATAACGTTGGTGCATTGTCATGTTCAATTAATTTATAGGTAGGCCTATTTGCGAGTAGGCGAAGCGAGTGAACACAATTTTGGGCCTCGTTTCTTAATGAATTACAGGTTTAGGCAGGTTCTTTTGGTATCTATTTTGATTTGTATCTTGGAGATATTTCAGATTTATTTCTATTCATACGATGTATTTATATAAAGAATACTCAGTGTTTCTGTATATACATACCTGAACACAGATTGTAAATTTCTTCATGTTTGAAGTTCAGAAAACATTGGTATATAGGCATGATCGTATTCTGATCGTGCAGAAATAGTTCAAATTTGGGAGGGGGGATACTAAGGTGTGCCGCTCCAGTTGGTCACCTTTTCACACAAAATTCCCTAAACATGGATCCCATTTTTAACAAATATATCCCTAAACATCGGTCCGTTTTTTCAAACTTTCCCAAATAGGCCTTTATTTCGAGAAAAATCCTCCAAAATGACCCTTAAAAATGGGTAGGGGGTTTGAAGCTTCAGCGGCACACCCCCGTCCTAACTAAATGTGAGACCCCCCCCCCCCCCCCCCCCCCGGGGGGGGGGGGGTTTCCATACTGACTTTGCAAAATTCTCTCACTTATATAAACTCAAAATCCATTTAGTATTAATTATTTTTGGCAATGGGCTGAAAATTAAAAAAAAATACAAATATTGACATGCCTTACAAGATTTTAGTTACGAGTTCCGCGAAAGTATTATATGCACACTGCTCATTCTATATGAATTCGCAAGTTTTATACAATACTATATAATGAAGAAGAACAAAAACAACAACTCTTGTTTTTTTTCTCAAACAGAAACAATCATGAAGACAGCCGTACTCGTCCTCTTGGTGTTGGGCATTACATGCCTGGCAATCAAGACAGTGGTAGCTCAAAGCGACTCGGATCAAAGTGTGGAGGTCAGCGTCGACGCCAGCGATTCCGATGAGGAGGCTCATGCTCGGGAACGCCGAATGATCTTTCCGTCTTGCGAAATTACCAGAGATTCCGACTCAAGTTCTGAAGAGGACACCGGCGACAGTGATTCCGAGGAGGAGGCTCATGCTCGGGAACGCCGAATGATCTCTTGCGAAATTCCCAGCAATTCCGACTCAAGTTCTGAAGAGGCTTCAGTGAGAGAAGAAGTGATAGACATCGCCGCACCCTAGATTCAACATGTGCGCCGTTTTCTTCCAATCTATTTCTCGACTGAATGGACAATTTAATGTGCCATATAGACCTATATACTCTTTGGAACCCAGATTTCGGTTAAAAATAAACACGATGATTTGATTTAACGGCCAATCACGAACATGAACAAGAACACAGACCAGTGGTTCACAATTTTCAAATGTTACGATGAAAATTACGACTGGCAACGAAAATAATATAATTCTGATTTTACTTATAGTGTAGCTTTGGTTTTGTACTAACTGAATTATACTGTCGAGATAAGAAAAAGAGCACAATAGCACAGAAGAGAAAGAAAACAATGCATAACTGAAAACGAGAGTAGGAAGTCTAGTAGAAACTGAAAGCACTTTATGTGAAAAGATGAATGTTGGACAACAGCAAATGATGGTTGATGGAGAGGAAGAATTGAGTTGAGAAGAAAGAGTAAACGATGCGAAGAAAAATAAGACAGCAACATTTTCTTATTTCAAGAGAAAAGTATTGACATGAAGGAGCGACAGAAGAGGGATAATGAATATGGGTGTATGTGTTGGAGAGATACAAGGAGAGAGAGAGAGAGAGAGAGAGAGAGAGAGAGAGAGAGAGAGAGAGAGAGAGAGGGTGGTGGAGGTGGAGAAGGGAGAGATTGAAGGGGGTGAGAAGAGAGAGAGAGAGAGGGGGGGATGGGATGAGAAGAGAGAGAGAAAAAAAGGAAGGGCGAGCGAGAGAGACAGAGAGAGAGAGAGAGAGGAGGGAGGGGGTTTCAAAGGAATTTTGTTTGTCTAATATTATTTCTACATTTTTCAACATAATACAAAATTCATATACCAACTAGGTACATGATTATTACCAACAAAATTCATAATATAATCATACATCATAATATAAATCAATTAAATAATTATACCTTTAAAAATACATACATAACATATCAAAATTGAAAAATGCAGGAGATAATCGTATTCCTTTAATTGTAAATAATCATTATTTTGTCCTTTTGTATCTTCACAAAGAAAGGAAAGGGGATTTTTTTTTTTTAAAGACAAAGAAAGAAGAAATGGAGATAGAAAGAAGGATGTGTAAAGTGTTGTACACGAATTATGATCTACAATAAGAGTCTTCATGAGGCTGGATTTTATAGAAATGATGGGTATTATGATATAGGTCATTTATTGAACAGTCATGTAGATATAAATGATATCATATCACAATCCCTCTTCTCAATGAGAACTTAATTTCATATAAGGATCCATACTTGTTTAAATATCTTTTTAAAATTGTTTGCTTATTTATTAAGGACATTAAACTTGTGCTAATATGAACTTACAAATTCTTCCTTTTCTTTGTTTGTTTAGTTTTTACTTTTATAGTTTAATAACCTTTCTTGAAAATTCTATAACACTTGTATTCCATTTGAATGCGAATTGTTTTGCTTATTTATCTAAATTATTTTAATCAGACTTCAGTCATCATCGTTTTATTATGCAATAAACAAACATTAAAAAAGAGACATATTCTGTAAATGTCTCTTTAAAATCTAACTACTCAAAACATTGTTAGAGGAAACAAAAGAAAAGCATTTGAATTAACTCCAACCATATCTATGTTTTACATATCATATCTCTCTGGTTTCTTAATAGTACGACCTGATCTGGTGGTGTATGGTAGGTGGTGATTCGATGGTGTGTTTGGTTTGCTTTGTGTTGTTCTGTTTGTGCATTCTGGTGGTCGTGCTCATCATTGTGTCTATCAATATATGCATGTTGATGGTTTTGTTCCATGCTGTCCCTCTCTTGGGTTGGTTTGATGTGCCTACGTTTTCGTCGTAGAGTGTGACCTGATGACGTCTGTACTTCATTATGACCTTGGTTCTGGTCTCCTGTTTGTGATGTTTCCTCTGTCCCATCTACCGGTCTCTTGGTTCTGGACTCTGACTTCTTGTCCTTTGTGTAGTGGGGGAAGGTTGGTAGCGTGCTTGTCATCAAAGTATTTTTTCCGGTCATCCTGCCTGGTCTGCAGTCTCTGGTAGATGTCATCTTTTTGGGTTGACTGGTTTCGAATTCTTGTGGGTATGTTGGTTTTGATTTTTCTTCCCACTAACAGCTCCGCTGGAGATGGTAGATGGCTGGCTATCCCTTAGTGGCTCTCAGGCATTGCAATGCCTTGTTGACGCCTATGTTATCTCTCTTGGCTTTCTTCATGGTGTTCTTGACAGTTTGTACTTGTCTCTCTATGAATCCATTGGATTGTGTATATCACAGGCTGGAGGTTACATGTTGGAAATTCCAGTCTCTGGCAAACTCCACGAATATGGCACTATTGTATTGAGGTCCATTGTCGCTCAATAGTCTTCGGGGCTTCCTTGTTCAGAGACGATTTCCTTAAGCAGTCTGATGACAGCACTACTTGTTGCTTGCTGTGGTAACTGCTTTACAAGTGGATGCTTTGAGTATACGCAACAAGAACGTACTCTCTTCCATCAAGTGTGAAGAGATCAGTCGAGTGACAAATTGCCATGGTCTGATAGAAATTTCATGAGGTTGCAGACTCTCTGATGGTAGGGAGTTCCCATAATTGACAATGCAGAACATTTCTGTATCATCATCTCGATCTTCTGATCTATGCCATTCCAGAAGATACAGCTCTTTGCTCTCAGTTGGCATTTGATGATGCCTTGATGTCCCTCATGTAGCTTGTTCAGGTATTTCTTTGTCATGCATTTCGGGATGATTTAAGGATAATCCCGCCTTCAATTGACATCTCGTCCCTGAATGGCCAATATTTGATCAGGCCTTTGTCAAGTTTCCGCCTTTCTTCTGGCCATCCCTCTAGGATTACATCTCTCAGGATGCAAAGTTGCGGTGCGGATCTCCTGTAGCTTCTTGTCTGAGAACATTACAATGTAAACATTCATGTGCATTTCAGGAGAGTCAGGAGGCAGAGGATCGAGTCTTGACATGGCATATCAGACAGAAGCATCTCCTTTCCAGGTTTATATTTCACTGTCATGTCATACCCTTGGAGTTTGAGTAGTAGTCTTTGTAGTCTTGGGGTGCAGCTCCAATGTTCTTGAGAGTGATCATCTCTAGTGGTTTGTTGATCTGAGAGGATAGTGAAACTTCTGCCGAAGACGAACGTGTGAAACTTTACACATGCGTATACAATGTTGGCGTATCGCTGCTCGGTGTCCGTGAGGGACTTTGGGGCAAACGATATTGGTCTTCCTTCCTGTGTGAGGGCTGCGCCAACGCCTTTCATCGATGCGTCTACTTATAGGAAAACAGGTTTCTTTGGATCAAAGTAAGCAAGTGTGGTCTCCTTGCAGATCATGTCTTTGATGGTTTCAAACACCTTCTGACGTGATTCAGTCCAGCTATATATCACATCTTTCTTCACAAGTTCCCGAAGTGGTGCAGTCAGTGAGGCAAGTCTTAGGATGAATGGTGACATGTAGGTCACAATGCCGAGGAACTCGCGGAGTTCTGTCACGTTCTGTGGTGCATTCAGTGCTGATATGGCTGCTGTCTTCTGTGGGTCTGGTTGTACTCAATCTCTGCTGAAGACAAGGCCATAGAATTTCACTCGGTCTTGCTTGATGTGGCATTTGTTCCAGTTCAGGACGAGTCCATGCTCCTTTGCGACGCGCATCAGATTGTATAAGTTTGCGTCATGTTCCACTGCCGCCTTTCCTACGACTGCTGTGTCATCGGCCATTCCTAAAACTCCAGGACATTTCTCTAGTATTTGGTTTATTCGTTGCTGGAACACGTCCTGAGAAACACACAAGCCAAAGGGTAATCTTTTGAAACGGTAACGACCAAAGGGACTATTGAAGGTCGTCAAATGGCTTGATTCTTCATCTAGCTGTAAAGCCCAATATCCATGTCTGACATGCAGGGTACAGAACACTTTGCTCCTTCAAACTGGTGCCGGACTTCTTCAATGGTTGGCATCGGCATATGGCTTCTCTTGATCGCCTTATTCAAGTCTTTTGGGTCAAGGCAAATTCTCCATCTTCCATTGGGCTTCTGGGTGTATGCCAAGCTTGATACCCAGTCTGTTGACTTAGTGACACTTTCTATCACTTCAAGACTCTCCATCTCATCAAGTTCTTTCTTGATGTCATCCTCTATGCCTATCGGGCATCGTCGAGCTGCATGTATCACAGGAGCCACATCTTTGTCGATCTATGGTATTTCCCATCAAATCTTCCGATTCCATCCCATCTGTCTCCCCGTCTTTGATGGGACTATCATGGCTCTCAATCAGGCTGCAATTCAAGACTACTAATCCATGATCCAGGCACAACTCAAGTCCAAGGATGGTCGGTCTTGGAGTCTTCACCGCAAAGAATTCTGCATTTGCTTGTCTGTCCTGGTGGTTACAGCTCCGTCTATGTACGCCTACTTGTGGAAAACAATATTTTCACCATAGCCCATTATTGTTATCGGTGTCTTTCTCAGCTTACCTGTGAGAGGTTCCCCGTTAGGGTCCACGCGAGCAGGGTATATTTTCTGATAATGCGTAATGGAAGAATGTTCCCTTCAGATCCTGTGTCTTCTTTGGCTTTTAGAGTCGCTGGTCCTCTTTCGATCTCAACTCCGATCACAGCAAAGGCTTCGTTCTTTCTGATCTGGTCTACACAGATGGTCTCAAACCGCATGTCGTCCGTTTCTTCTGTTTCTTCCTCTTCTTTCATCTCATGGAGTCTCTTTGACCTCTGTGCTTGCGACCTTTTCGGATACTTCTTTGTAGCTTCTTGTTTCCTTTGCCACTGCTGTTTAGATTCCTTTCCCTGTTTCTTCAGTCGGCAGCAATTCTCCCAGGGGTTCATTTTTATCACAGTTTCTGTATTTGGCGCCATAAGCAGGGCACTTCCTCGGTGGATGGTTCAATCCACAGAATGAGCACTGTTGCTTTGTCATATCAACATTGACTGCTTGACCATGAAGTAGTCTCATATCCGCTTCAGTTGCCTCCTGAGTTCTAGCGATGTCCAAAGCTGAGTGAGTTTTTCATCCTCGGTCAACAATGTTTGTTGCACCTTCTTGCTGGAAGTGCCAATGATGATCTGCTCGATGAGGCGACCTTCAAGTTCAATTTTCGCAAACTTGCATTAAATGCATAAATTTTATGTGTTTGTATTTTGCACCTAGCCACGAAGTCATCTATAGCTTTGGTTGGTTCCTTTGCGAACTTCTGCAGCTGAAATCTTGCCAGACTGAAATTGGTCTT